GCCGATACGGGGCTTAGTTTAAAGGAACCTTAGTTTACAGAAAAAAATATCCTATTTTTTCAGTATCAATACTGGATACAAAGATAACGAAATAGTTAGAAAACAAATAAATGATAGCGGAAATAATAGATCAAATATGCAAATAAAAACAATTGATACACTGATGTCGATGACTTATTATCATCCCGTTTCATTGGTCCCTAATCCACATGTACGGCATAATATTTAAAAAAATGTTGTTATACAAATCTTAATATTATGGTTTGTACTGCTATAAATGCTTGTAAGAACGTACAGTTCCCGGTCATTCGTACATATAAAGAATAGTAAAATCCCTTGTTTACAGATGTTATAACACACACTGATTATTATATACAAACCCCACTAATCAAGCGGTATATTAAGAAATCTAAATTAATCAATGTTATATAATAAGCAATAGCAATACCTCGACTTTAAGGGATGTATTTTATTAGAAAAAAGATTTTTAAAAAGTTGTTTGTTCTGATTTCAACGCGGACTACATAACCATTTGTATATATCCAAAGTATTTATCAAATGTCGCTATAGCGGACCAATATTATACTTATTACTGCCTTCATTGGTGTTACAAGAAGTCATTCTACAATTTGCGATGCTGTGTATATGAATAATACAAAACACAACCTTATGAAATCCAACGTTTTCAACGTGCAATTAAAGAGGTGGAACTTAACATTGCGTTCGTGGAATTCATGGCAGCAGTCAAATATATCACAAAACAAGATACACAATAACAAGAAGTCGTTTACCTTATTTTATAAGGACATAGGTTTTGTGCCAAACTATTCATAATGTGGGTACATAGTAAGTAACGTAAAAATATATCCATGTATATGAAACAAGAAGACCATGATTTATGATGTGTTTTTTTTTTTTTTGTCTTATATATGTCCTTTTGCGAAATCCGATATAATCTAAGGGGCATTGGCGTCAACCTCGACAATATCCAACACTAAAGGATCCTCCTGATCTGCTAAAGTGAGATCTGTAGCACTCATTGCACATACAACCAGTCTAACTTCTGAATTTCCAGAGTGTTCTCTGTATTTTATGAGGGCTTCATACGGATTCACATTTTCACCACTAAAAACACAAAAACACAAAAAATATGTTTCAACTTTAACCCCACATGGCAATTCCGTCTTATAATCTTGTACTAAAATCTTACAATGCACCATAGTTATCTACGATTTAAATTTGAAAAAAAGTGGAAATTCCTAAAAGGCAATGATGAGGTAAAGCAAATTAAAAAAAAATATTACTCGTATTGATTGAATTTTTCTACGAAATTTACTATCTGTGTAGTAAACAAACATACCGATGTTTGTATAGTGCATTTCGATTGCATCTTTTATCGGTTGTTTACACTCATTAACTAACTAGTGGATGACTTGCATTGCTTAAGTTTTGTACCACGAATTCAAACTTGTCCGTAGGCAAGATCTTAAAACTTTTCACAACCAAACACTGTGATGAAATAAGATAAGTCAAGCATACTGTTTTGGTCAAATGTTAACATGCAAAAGCATAAACAGCTGCTCTTTTTCCCATTTTTATGATGAATGGAAGAAAATCTTATCCATTTACCTAAGTTCTTAATAAATAAAATGATATCCCGTCTATGATTTATCTAAACCAAACAAAGGAACTGCTATTGTGTATTTATCGATTAATTGTATCAAGTGCTTTTTTGTTTTTTTGTTGTGTTTTTTTGTTACTATTGTATCAACATATTTATTTCAATCATTATTTGCTTAAATGTATCTATGCATGCCAAGGATTTGTAACATCGCGATCCTTTTATAATATATCAATATAATAATACTTTTTATGTGTGATAATAATTGAATTGTTTCAAACGAAACTGTGATAATAACTTCATTAGTGAAAACAAAATAAACGATATTTTTTTAATAAAATTGCACGTTGTTTTTTATGTTAAAGTACTGTAAATAAACACGATTGTCCAATAACGCCGCCGATTTTTAAAACACAAATTGCCATTTTTACTTCAATACGGCTCTATATTTGTTTATACATCATTTACTGTTAAATGATCCACATACTGTACTTTGATTAACCTAAAGACAGTCTTACGTGTTTTTTACCATTCTTATTTCGCTGTGATTTAAGAACTGTTTAAACAAAAGGTTCTGTCCTCCTTATGCGTAATATGTTACGCAATTTATGACATGTGATGATTATGTTTTTCACAAGTGTTTGGTGTCAACATACTTTAGGGGGCAGTCAGATCTGTCCATACATTTATTTTGCAATCCAATCAAGTTATTTTCCAAAAGATAATTCATTTATTCATGGTTGGTAATTTACGAAAAATAGAACTGCAATAACCACACCGGCCAAGGTCAATGGAATTTTAGGTAATCATCAAATCTGAATGAAAATCATAATGATTTCATATCTTTTCTAATGTTTATTCATCAATGTTACCAACATTTGTTTCCCATTTGCTACTTCTTGTAAAATAAAAACTGCAAATTGGGTTGACACGTGATTTTGAATGTAATTTTGAATCGCTTCGGCTCGTCAGTTATTGAATTAAGTTTCAATTGATACAATGTAAGACCTACTAAAAAGGGTATACGATGACTTTCGTACTTCGACCGACTGCACTGTGACACTTTAAAAAAACTGGTATATCGGATAAATCCTTGGAATCGGTTAGTTATTGTTTTAAAAGATATATTTACTTGAAGAAAAGTGATAGTTTTAAATTGGATGTAAAACATGTAAATAGTGTTTACTGTTTCTTTTTCATAAGTCTATTCACTTCATTGGTTGAACATTTATTCTGCACAAGGGCTAGGGACGCCGAGATCGTCTAAAAAGGGATTATGTCGGTGGCTGATGTTCAAACATATAACGTTGACTACAAACGGATCACCATCAGCGAATTTTGTAGTAAGTTCATCCATAACATGTACATAAATGTAAATTATGTTGCGAAAATTACTGCAATATATCGTTATTATGAACAATCAATATTTTTCTTAACGTCACTTCAGGTTTGAGGCCGCATCTTCATAACAGGTAGCAACCCTTACAAAACAAAGTCATACAGTAGGCTTAATATAATGTAAAACTAAACTGGTTTTGGTGTTACTTCTTATTTATTAAAAACAACCATTTATTAGTTTCATTAAAACAGTGCTTAACAGTGACACGTGTGTTCCGAATCTGCATTTTTTACTCATGTACTCGCTTTGACTTGGCTATTTTTAGGGTTCTTACTACTCTATCCTACACTTCTTAACGAAACTGTCAGAGGACTTCATACCTTTATATATTAAGACTGCATATCATAACGTCAAAAGAATTGGTTTATTCCTATCTAATAATTTATTTTAGTTCGATTGTGTAGGAAGCTATAAGCTTAGGGACACACGTTCGCATCCGTTCCTGGAACCAACCAGTAATGAGCAATGAGTGTAAAATTTCTTGATCAAGGAAACAACGACTTGTCCCTGACGGTGTTTGAACCCATGCGGCTAGCGATCATTAGATTACTAGTCCGACGCGTTAACCATTCGGCTATGCCGCCACGATCAATGATTGCTTTTGTCATAACATAAGTAACTGAATCAACTTGTGTCTTTTTTTTATTCGGGTTATTCATTCGCTGCCTTACAGAGTATGCAAACGCAAACTAGAAAACATAGTAACGGCAAGTATGAAAAATCAATACAAAGCACAGTTTCAATTATATCAATGAAGTTTAATCAAAATTCCTTTTCATTTTGAACATTTCTTTGAATTTTAATCATAGTTAACAAAATGAAGTGAGAACTAAGAAGAAATCAGTATGTTTTATATATTAAGCAAATAAATAGTTTTAGGTACCAAAATAAGTTTCTTATAGATTAGAATTAATTTAAAGAGAGATTCGATAAGTATCAATAATAATGTTACAGTAGCAGAATTATAGCATTATTTTCATGAAATATTACTTTGCTTTCTGCTATAAAGAATAGAAATTGAAGAAATTACATTGTTAAATGGCAAAGTTAAATAACACAGACAGAAAAGGAGTAACTGTAACACTGTTGCATATAATCACAATGATGAAACCAATAAGACAATGTCAATTAAAACATAAAACTAATTAAGAAAAAATTAAAATGTATGTGTATGTTTTGTTTCCTTGTTTCCCTATGTACTTGCTATTTTTTTTTCTTTATTCAAAAAGTAGTGAATGATTTTGAATGCATGGTGTATTAGGTATGTGGAATGAATAGTAAAATAATACGGTTTCTATTGTAGCATATGTGTTGGTATTTTATCGTAAAATTTGACTGTTATGTACATGTGAATTAATGAATTACATAAATGAGAAAAGAATCAATAAGGCCATTATTGCTCTGAAATGCACATAAACATATTTTGTTGTTTTCGTTATGAGATGTTTAAAAATCATATATGGGAATCCGATGGTCAAATGATATAAGCAAAGCATTTATACATATTTTTTTCTATTTAAGGGTTTCTAAATTAAAATCAAGCGAGATTAAACAGAAGCTTGTTTAAGTACGACTGCTACAAACCAAAGCATGTCCATGATTAAGGGCAACCAACTTAAACAATCATTATTTGAATAATTATTTTAAAGGATATATTTTTTCTAAGATTGTTCAACCTCAACCAAGAGCAATCCACAAATAAGTGTGATGGTGGTATTTTGTTGAAATGTATTTGCTGTCGTCTATTTACAAGTGTTTCAACACGAGCCCTTAAATGGACAAAATCGGAATTAATATTATATATGTTACCGTGTACAACCTTGTTAATTTTTTGTTTCAGCACTGCTACAAATGTTACGCAAATAAGGAGTGAAATTAGCATTTTGTACTTAATTGGTACAATTTTTTTATATCTCATTATAGATATGTGTCATATTAAGTGTTAGAGCTCTCATATTTGTTACATTGATGTTACGTATATGTTACTTAGCGCGATTCTTACATCATATTCCAAGCGTTTCAATAATTTGCGCCCATTTGAGGCATTACCTCATCTATCTTAAGAAGAATGCTTAATATGTGTGAATCAAATACTTCTTCAAATAATACATTTTCTGATTAATATTTAACAAATTGATACAAATTAAACAAATCCAGACAACATCATATATGCAACTCAGTCAAAAATGATAGTGTTATACATTATATTATCATAACAAAAGTGCATTATGACAAACGTATCAAAAACCACAACAAGTAGTTCAGCAACCATTACCCATTACTCGTAAAAATATATTATTATTTATTCATAATTCATATAAAGCAATGCAATTATATACAAAGCTTTCAATCATAATTTTATCAAAGTTACAAGTAGCTTAACATTTTATATCTGAACAAAATAATTTATAGTTTTTGTATGTAAAGAGTGTTAACATTAGAAAGTATCTGAATACAAATAATATGTAAGTATGCCAATTTGTAACCCAGTCTGAATGTGTTATCATATTTAATTTAAAGCTTGATTATAAAACAAGCTCTTGAAACTTGAATAAAATCGCCTTCGAGTTTGCTTCAAAAAACTTACAAGTAGAAAAGTCTTATTAATGTTTTAAATTGGTCATTATTAGAGAACAGTCTTATTCCTTTCTTTTCCTGTCTTGTAAAAATGAATCAATCAAATGTTTGTTTCCAACTCTTTTAATATATATCTTAACCATTCCACCCCTTCATAATCTAGCCGACGTCTAGGCAGTCTGAAACTATGTTTCATCATATCATTTGAATTTTCGCAATCCCGTGCAAGCTGTCTAACTTGAGACCATTCCTGAAATTGACAACAATGCGATGATCACGCATTACATGAAATGTATCTCAATAAACTATATTAGCTACTTTTTTTGACAAAAATTGTAAATTATAAGATAACATTAAAAAGTACAAAAAACAATTTTTATCCATTGAAAATTAAATTACAAGTTAGAGAATACGTGTTTGTGAGTGAGCATTATGGAAGCGAGCATTAAGACTTTCTCACATTTCAAAATATTTGTACATTCTTCAAAATGCAATAATCGATTATTGATGCTAGCAGATATAACAAATATGTACGTCAGGGTTAAAACATATTAGTATTTCCTAGATATAAACATATCATTATGTTAATACAATTACATGTCAGGTAAAATTACACAATGATATTCATAAGAATAATCATACTTTATTAAACTTTTCAGCAACAGGATAATATAACAATAGTTTTAATAAAAATACAAATCTGCTGTATATAAATGTTTATCATGGAAAATGCATTGTAAAAATAAACCGAACCTTTGTTAAAGTTGGACGATCCAAGGATTTTCGGATGGTATTTTTTTTTTCATGTTCAATGAACTTTAAACTCTCGTACAATCTAGAGCAAGACAATTTAATCCGTTTCAGTTGGACAGTTATGCACTCGAAATGAACCTGTATCCGTTGAAAACACCATTTGGTTATACATCCACCTATAAAATACAACTTCAAAGCTTACGAATTTTGAAAAAGAAAATATTAAAGATGTCGCTAAAAGCGCATTGTCCTACATATTTATTACATCAATCCGAAGGTCATAGTGTTATCATTGCAATAATACACTTAAAGTTTAAGATTCTCTTTTTTCTTTTATTAAATGATAGGGATACTCGTAATTTCTAAAACAAAAAAAATGTAACAAAGGTCTTTTTTCTACCAAAGTCCTTGTGACAAAGGTAAAATAGAGTAGCAATCTTTTACATACAGAGTTTAAGTAATATCATATGATTGTTTTATTTTAGGGGTCTACTAAGCAATGTCTATAAATAAAAAATCGATTTTACTTTCCATTAAGTTAGAATATGGTTTTTAAAAGTGATTTCAATATGTCTTTGTAAGCTACGTAATCCGTTGTTGATATAAGTGGTATGTTTTGTATAAGTACAAGGTTTTCAATTATCTACTCTTTGAATAAACTTCACAAAAGAATATCCAGTTCTTAATGAAACAAAGTGGACCTACCTACTTTGTAGAGGGTCATCTGTTAAAAAATCTTATTGACGTTAGTCAAATGTATGTTGTTAAGGAGGAAATGCTATTTCGTGTGATCACAACAATCACTTGTAAGCACTTCGTGTATACATAATTTCAAGAAAGATATACCGTTGACAGCTTATAGAAATCTTATAGCGAATTTAAACTGTAAATGGTTAGTTGCAATCTTGTATCTACGAAACGTGTCTGTATACTAAAACATGTAAAAATGACCTCATTTTGTCGATTTGATTATGAACTAATGCAATAAAATAATATTTGGTGAGTGGGAACAAATTGACTTTTTTCTGAATTAATAAAATCAGACGACTAAATCTTTTTACATACAAATGTTAAAATCACAATTCAATTTCCAATGGAATGCATGATAGAAAAGTTAAAGAATAGTTGTAATTGAGTTCAAAGTTGACAGAAATACTATTTTATATGTTTGCCTTAAAGATAACATTAATACTCTATATGAAAGACAGATACTCAGTTACGGAACAAAACATGTTTAACAAATAAATCAATATATTGTTTTAAACAATTCTATTGAAACGATTGTAAAGACCTAAATAATGTACACACAAAAATTGATGATAAAATCACTTTTAATTTGATAGCTGTTGAATAGATTATTAATCAACAAAATTTTACCTCGTAGTTGTAAAGACGCACTTTCTTGAACTTTGATAGGTAGTTGTGAAGACGTCGAAATAGATTCGTCTTGAACTTTAATAGGTCCGCTCTCTTCTTGATCTTTTTCCTTATGTAGTTTAAGAGGCATACTACGTTTCAGTTCATCTTCACTTGGCTGCTCTAGGGATACACTTGATGCTTGTTCTATTTTGCTTTGTAGTTTAGGATCCTTAATCAGTTTTGTTTCAAGATGTGAAGTTAACTCTGACAAGAACGCCTTAATGTCTTCCACAATATTTGAATCACGCTGAAGTAAGATAATACAATATATCTTATGAATATTAACTAAAGTAGAAATGTCAGAAAACATATTATTTATACAAGGAAAAGCTGCATTCAATCGATGTATGGATGAAATCTCTTCAAAACAGCAGGGATTTTTCAGGAATTTTGGGAACACGACCCATACCCATGGAATTGGGAATTTCAGCGGTGTTTTGTTAAAAATTGGAAAAAATACATGACTGAAATTTAGCAGTGATTAAATGGATGCAAACAATTACTGTCTATGATGGCATCTTCAAAGATTTAAGAACTAATATAGTGAAGAAGCCCTTATTTGCAAAGATTTTAGAATTTTTATTCAAAATTTTTATTTTGTAACTTTCAATTGGGATTTTTGTTACTGTGGATTAGAAAAATAATATAGTATTTTCAATTGGGAATATGACCCAATAACGGCTATAAATTAAGCCAAAAAAATCCTGAAACATATGAAGTAAAAAGTCAAAATGCTTCTTAAATATTTGCTATTTTTTTTTCCTGTTTTAAATTCTAATAGCCCCTGAAAAACGCTCGGGAAAAATTCTTTTGGGTTTAATAATGGGGGAAATTTTTAGAGATTTGAATTTTGTTTATTTTTCACGTCAGTAAAAATTTTGAAAAATAATTTTTTAAATAATTTATTTTTAGAATATTCCAAAATAATTTAGGTTATAGAACAGACTATTCGGTTATTTGGTAAACAAATAAATAATCTGAATATGAAAGGTGGAATCTTAATACTTTCTTTTGACAGAAAAAAATCTTTATTTACATAGTGAAGAATAGTATAACATTATTTTGAATAAGTAAATCTTTATAAATAAGACAATAAGATGGCATCTGTGGTTACAGTCGCTGACTTCAAAACTTGTGGCTATTTACTGTGTTTGTGTGATATAAAACCCCACAAAAAAGTCAAAAAGACAATATCAGCAAATGTTTTTACACATTCAAGCTAAATCTAAAATTCTAACCCTCATTTATGCTTTGAGTAGTTAAAGGTGAACTCACCAAATAAAAATGCAAAAAGTAGATTTGGATCAATATCAATCGGAAAATCTCGGCTATTTTCAATAATAACCACGAAAATAATACGGATTGGACGTAGTTTTACCACTAAGTTATAAATGTAAACAAAAACAGAGGGTAAGTCTGTGATAATGTATAGCAAATGTATATACTTGACATCCAAAGGAAAATGAAGTCTGTTTCGGCCAAAGAACTATGATTGAAAATATGTCTAAGAAACATAATCGATTCACAAATGCCCACTGATGTAGACTTATGAACAAATCTGACTTAATGTCAACCGGTAGGCATTTTCTATTTTCGGTTTCTGCTGCCCAACCATAATAATAAAAACATAAATAATGTACTGTCTACTTATACATCATTACTACCAATGTACCTAATGTAGTTAGACATTTACTTGATATATTGGAATAAATTTAGTCAACAATTCCCAGTATCAAATTATTGTTTGTATCGTGTTTAGTTTCTTAGAGTAGGTTAGACCGAAATACAGTATCCGTCCTGTCTATTGTGATCGAGGTCAATATCCGAAGACTAATGGAAAGGGCCAAAAAGTTGCGATTGGATCAAAATATTACATCATGTCAGCATATCGCAATGCTGAAACTAATAAAATTTGGGGTAGGGCTATATCAGAGAATACGTATAAAGGATTAAAATAATAGCAAAACAAATAAAAACAAAATTTAATAAGATTAATTACGAAATTGATTATAGAACTATGAAACAAATACCAATATTAACAATATGTACTTTTTAAATAGTGTAAGAAAATTATATCCGAAAAAAAAATAAATTTAAATGAAACTCCTTTCACTGTTTAATAGACATGAATGAGTTTTTACAATTTCCAAATATAAGGAGGCCAACCTCTGTCAGTAAAGTAACAGGAATATTACTGTATATTTGTTTTATGTTGAAATGTTTCTAAATATTAAGGGCCTGTAATACATAATTAAAGATGTTGAGACAGGTAGTATAAGTATTTGCAATGCAATAGAGTGTATGTCTTTGAATAGCTTCATGCTAGGTTGACTGAAACGTCTACTGAACCAAACACGATATTATTTGATTACCCGCACAGATTATATATTCTTTAACCAAACTTTTGATTCAATAATACATGTACCTTATTAACAACTATAATATAACATTTACTAATAAGTTTAATGAATAATTTCATAATTGTATAATTTCTTACTTTACTTATATGACAATGACAGTTACTGTAATACTTATGTTGCCCGAGAACTATAAAATATATGGCGTACATGTTTGATCTTTTTAACTATTGGGTCTATTCCCCGCTATGGAGATAAAACACATCAGAACAGTCGAGAAGAAGTTTTAAGACACATTCAAACAGTTCATTTAATTATTTTCCTAACCTTTCAAAATTGTGTAGATAGTAGGTATTCTGATGACATCGTTATTGATGTACGAATTTTGTTGTTCCTTATAAATGGATAAATACTGTAGGACTTATTTCACAGAGAGGCCTTTAAATACCCAAAAAGCAATAAAGGCAAGTTACTTTCAATATAAGATTATTTAAAGAAAATTAGATTTTTATGACAAATGAAATAAAAACGGAAAAAATATAGATTTAGGCTTCAAATGTAATCTTCAAAGGGAAACTTTTGAACATTGATTTCATCAATGTTCTTATTCAATGTTTTTATTTTAAAACAATGGCCTGAAAAATACAGCGCTTAACTTGCGCAACGCTTGTTTAACATTATCAATTGCGAGACAATTGGCATATCAATGCAACACTTAATTTTTGCTTCATGTTGATATTGTTATGAGTGTATTTTGTTGCAGTATCAATCAAATCTGCCCATGATAATAGAAAATAATTATTGTTATAATAATTTAAGCAAAATTTGATATTAAGATGTTTACTGTCAAGGTAATTTAAAGATCAAGGTCAGATTAAGTTAATCATCATTTCAGCTCTTTGTTCAAACAAATCAATTACATAGTGACTGTTGTAACAATTAATGGTCAATGCAACTTAAAGGTCAAGTTCATTTCTTTTGGCTTGTCGGTTCAGTAAAACAATAAATTGATCAACTATCAATCAAATTTGTAAATCATTTTAACAAAGTTATGACAATTTATTCAAAATTTAATAATTTATGGCAATTATTAATGTCACTTCAATGTCAAAATTATATTTGAATCATTAAAGTTGTCGGTCTTGACGTTTGTCCTTTTTTGTAAAAGTATAACTCTATAAAAAAAAGTTGTGACTATTCAAGAAAATAATAAGACCTTTAACGTAATTTTTAATTTAACGTCAATGTCATATTAGAATAATTGAACATGGCGGTTTTGTCAAAGATGTTTTTTCTCAAAGAATATCTCAAATTTGTAATTAAATAGCAGAATTCGACAATTAAAGCAAATTTCAATAATATGACCTTGACGGTTAAGGTCAGTTTAATGTCTAAAATGTAAAGGTCTTTCAATCATTGAACAGACATATAATGGCAAAAATAATTCTTTTGTCTAAGTTAAATTTGTGTAAACAAATGACAAAGTTATGACAATCTAAGCTAAATTCAATATTTAAGATTAAAGATTAAAGGTGAAGGGCAAGTAAGACACTTAGGATATTATGATGACTTCTAGATCCCTTGACACTTAGACCCCTTTTTACATGACTTTTCGACCCTTCTTGTGTAAGACATTTCGACCCTTATGTACTTTTGTACTTTAGAATCCAAGATATTCGAGAAATAATTTTAAATTAATCAAATAGCAAATCTTCTAATTATTTTCATAACAAAATATTATAAACTTGCGGTAAAGCAATAAAGCAACATTGTTTTCGATTTATATTATAATGTTGTGTTGCCTAGCAAAACAATAGTTGTGTAGCATTGGCTGCAATTGCTACATAACAGTAATAATATGGGTTTTTTTGCGTGATTTATATTTTTTTTAAGTTTGTAGAGATTTGTTGTTTTCGGTATGAAACACATGTCATGTATGTTATAAATAATATATAATATATATAAATAATTTTACATTTCTATTTAATCAATGTTACATATTTATTGTCTTGTCTGTAGTTCGATGATGCGATAATTTCATGTTTATTATATTTACATTATGAATTAAAAACCAAACTACCAATCAATCAATTATTCGGTGTTATTTGTAAACAATATTTATGTTTTCACGTGTGCAAATGCGTGTCAAATAAACACCAAACACGTGTCATTGGTGATTTAATTATCTGTATTTAACACCTGTTTAAATCATCCTACCAATCACCAAATTGTTACAGTGCTACAATGTAATTAAACAGTAGTTTTTTTTATTTTAACGGGGTTTTCTAACTTGGGAAGGCATTGTTGTACGTTACATTTAATTCAATTATTTAATTAGCATATACACATATTACATATTCATTGCCATACATTAAATGATGGTGGTCAAATATAACATAAGATAAATAAATACTGTACTTGTATATGGTATTAGATAATTTTTGATTTTGTACATGGATACAGTGTCAGTAATGGATTTCATATTTTATTACTTTCTTTTTTTTCTTATAAGAGTTTTTCTGATGGCCATTTTATTACTTTCACATTTAGTTAATGAATATCCGAGGCGTAATAGATATGTTTTAAAACATGATGTTAGACATTCAGTTTCTGAAAGTATTCATTTTTATGTATAGTATAAGAACCAATAAGTTTAAGATTTCCTGATATTTGAAGTTCGATATACTGAAAGTAACAAGTGCACATGGAGATTATGACAACATTTGTTTAGACTAAAAGTGAATTACAATTAAAAGATAAAACGTTTTAAATGTATATTTTAATTACTGTTTTTTATGATAATATGAATACAAATATACCTAATATATTTTCTGTTTAAATGTGTTTCTGTTCCTTGTACACGTATGTTGACTTGAAGAATGATTACGAATAACAAATAACGGCTCGATATGATTTCACTTATAATTCAGTATATCTATTTAATCATATTTAATAATCAAATTTATAAAGACATATTTTTCTAATAAAGTTGTATACGTCTTTATCTACGTTCTTTTTTCGAAAGTAACGGCTTCATTTTCTTTATAAAATAAGGGGTCGAAATTTAAAGTCAATTTAAAGTCTCTTAGGGGTCTAAGTGTCATGCATTGAAATATCTTAGGGGTCGAGATCTCAAGTGGTCATTGTGTTAATAATATCAGCTTAGAACTCAACTCATTTTCAATAATAATTATAATATCATAAAATATACATCATAATATCATACAAAATATCAGGCAACTAACCTCAAAAAGATGATCGGAAACCAATATATAATAGTGAGATTTGATTGTCTGTCCAAATTTTAGGTCTAGCAATGCAGGACCTGGGCGAAGCATTTCTATCAAGGCTTGCTGTGGTTTCTCTGTAAATTGAAATTAAAAAACACATATCATAATCAGATAAATGCCCCCGGAAGCTTATCTAATGAAAAGGAACTTTACATTTGACTTCAAGAAACAGAACAGTTTCTATTTCACCAATTTACTCAATTAATTCAAGAGGCATCCGTGAAAAGTTGATGAATTGACAAACCATTTCCATACACAACAACTAATGAACTGTTTTCAAATCCAAGTAATGTATAAGTATTACCATCACCTTTTTAATGTCAAACTTGCAATTGCTCGTGAAAGGTCTAATTGATCAAGGCTTTTGGCGTACATGTGTGACGTTGACCTTTGAGCTGAAGATCTAATTTTAATCGACTTAAAATGAAACACACTTATGAAATCCCTCAATAATTGACAGGGTTGTAAATCGGACATGTACATGAATATATCAATGTGAAATTATTCAAGTTTAAATGCGACCTCGATTTTAGGTCTTCAAATATTGTTTTAGCGTGCGCCAAAATTATTTAAAAATCCTTCATGAATAACAAACAATGTAGCACTACCACGTGACCACGTGTACTGCACACACAGACTTTTCGCCGATTCAAGTATATTTTATTAATAACTTTGCTGTTACTCAATCGACTTTGTTCAACTAAGGCGTAAAGTATCCGTAATTATATAAGCTTTATTAAATTAAAATTCGAGTTAGTCGGGCCGAGTGGAACGGTGCACACTCATTTATCACAACAAGCGATTTTAAGAATTTCACTATAAAAATTTGACATAGAAAATCTGTAAGGTTTAGCATTCATATTTTAAGGAAACGGACGACTTGCTAGAAATCGCTTGTTATGATAAATGAGTGTGTACTGTTCCTCTCAGTCCTGCATATAAAAACAAAACTTAATCGAATGTTCTCAAAACCATTCAGAGGTTTTCAACTTACCGTGAATCAGCAGAGTTAATGATGAAAACATACATGAATCGGTGAAAAATCTGTATGTAACGTACCCGAAAAATCACGTGGTATGGCCACAAAGTCATGCAGCAGTCACGAACATCTATTCAATGTAATATTAAGAATTTGGATATATTACTTTAACCGTTTGGGCACAAAATTATTTTCGCGCGACACATTGTCATGATATCCGATTATCCGGTACATTTATGCCAAATAATTATAATCCTGAAAATTACTGAACTGGCACGACCATTAGTACACTATTTTGAAAACGTCATATTATGTGACATTGAACTCTGAGCGCAAGACCTGACTCTCGCGCAACATGGTGTCAAGATGTCAAACATAATAATAAATTATTTTTAAATTCATCTAGGAGTGACAAAATTGTTGCCATGACACCACAAGCCATGCACTTTAATGTAAATTCCATATCGTAAATTTGGAGTAACAAGTGTAACTATGACTTTTAAGCAAGAGACCTTACTCTGCATATACGCTGCAAATTCTCATTTCTGATTTTTTTATTTTTAAATCCATCACGGTATTTCAAACAGTTAACCGGACACGGCCATCAATGATCTTTATGAAAATATGAAAAGACCTCTCCACAGTGTTAAGAATGAGTGTTGGCGGCATCAATTTTTGCGTATCTGATTGTAGTGAATGATTCTAATTTTAAGCGTAAAATCATTAGGAGAAATCTACAAAAATGGTTTTGCTTATGCTCTGTTCCAAAGTACGACTTCACTTAAACGAAAAATTAACATAGAAATGAACAAATCGGTACATAGAAAATCGGAAATATCATTTACGTTACTTAGCGCTACGTGGATGTTTGATTCCGTTTTAATGTTTTAAAATGCTTATTGTTTTCTGAATAACGTTTTAATATTTCATGTAACGATAAATAGTAACAGTGATCAATTTAGCTATAATATCACCATTCACTATTATATGACCGAGTGAACCGAAAGTTTACTGCTCCTTAAAAACCTGACAACTGTATTTTGTCACCCTTAATATCGGCATCTTCAGCTTCTTCTCTTTGCTTTGTCTCCTCTTTAGACAAAGGAGCACTCTCTGTGAAATCGCGTTGCAATTCTTTCAATGAACGTTCTTCATCTTTACAGAGCTGTTGTAAATGATGCAAATGATCATAACCAGCCTTTGACTGATCCTTCATCTGCTCCACTGGTACTTTTAACTCTAAAAGTGTTTCAAGATCCTGAACATCCTGGACTATGTTATCTAAACGAGCGACACTGAAAATAAATTATATCAATTGTTCAACAACAATATTTATCTAGGTTATTATGGTTATATGCAAACAGAATTTGTGTTTCCATCATGAGTTAATTCATTAGGCATGTTATGGCAATTAATTCTATAAACAGAGGCAGTAAGCGCACTTTATTTTCACATGATTCGGTATTATTTCAAAAAGTCATGTAAAAATTTAATCGGGCAATAACTTTTTCTCGAAATACATGTATAGCAAATGATTTCTGGAAAATTTCTACCGCTATAACAGAATAGTATTTGTGTATATTCACATTTACTCTCATGACGTTATTATCATTAAACGATCAATGAGGAAACCTGTTTTAATAATTTAATAAACTGATTTATTACTCAATAAAAAATAATATAATGGTAACTTGAACAATTCAACAAAAGGACAAACATGGCAAACTAGGTTAAAAGTTAAGACAAAATAAGCAAGAATGATATTTTATGTATTTATAATTTATAAAATAAAATTATGCATCCATAAAATTACATTCAATGCAGAATAAGCAAAAATCTAACTTCATTTTCTAAGATGCTAAATGCATAATAAAAGTGCACCAATAACATCTTACAAATATGAATTGTTGAAGTATGCTATTTGTGAAAAGTAAATAGACAACAATTTATTAGATGCTTTTATACCTTATCAACTTTAAATGTAAAATGATCTCACAATCAATGACAGTGTGTTAATAAACCATGTTTTCTTTAATGTTTAACTCTTTACAGGTAAACCGATATTTGGCATAAATTACCACATTATAAATTCAAGTCAGATTGAAATCATACTAGAAGTGACAGATAACGCATTTGTAACCATAGAAGTGATTGTTGTTAAGATGATATATTGTTATTTCATAAAATATTGTGTTCCTTTAAAAAAAGAAATAAATAATTAAAAAACAGTGTCCGGCTGTTAACTCGTTTAGGGCGTTTACTTGAAACCATTTGGCCCCAAAAAACTATGGGTTCTAATCCGGATATGGACTTTGGATTTTTTCTGAGGAAGCTATCCAACTTGTTCGCAGAATGTCAACTCGAGTGTGATATAATGCATTAAAGGGCAAATAAAGTGTTCCTCAAACAGTTAAGCTGGAAAATTGCAAACTGACTTCTACTGCGTTAGTGTAACGTAAACGCCTAAAGCCCACTCCAATCCCGCCCTCGACAATAAATAAAATATAAGCCAAATATTGAGTCATAAACTCTGTATATGAAGTATATCAGATATCATATTTTGTCTTTACAAAACATTATCATTTATGAATATTTAATTAACTTTTCTTTTTGTCGATAACTTAAAATTATGTGTAAGTGTGTGTGTGTGTGAGTTTCCACAAAATAACAAATATTTCACTTTATTCATGATACTATGGTACTTACGTTTGCTTTATTTCTATTTCAAACATTTCAAATGTTATTCCATAAGGGCCCATAAAATCCTGTGCAATATACAGAAACATGTATATAGTGTGTACAATGATGTTATTTTTATGCAATCACTATACATCGTTATTTTCAAATGTATTTGAAATGTATAAAATTCACAATTTGATAGACTAGATGATAATATATGTTCACATATAGATATACAGTTTGCGTTAAATTCATCTCTTTACTACAATATGGTAACAGTTAAGACAATACAACATCTACCTGTACATATCAACATTTATGACAGATGACCTTTTCTATCGAAAGAGGGTTCAATTTTGAACAAATTAACATCTCACTCCTGGCAATATTTCTTTGAAACAATTAAAAATCAGTTGACATTTTGTTTGCAGTAACCTAGGAATAGGATGGGTATAATTGTTCTTTCTTTTCGGTTAAACATAAAAACAAGCAAAGGTTTTATGTTGGAAAAAACCTCTAAATATATTTCTAACGAAGTAACAGGATTGAGGACTTACATGGAAATTATGTATGCAAATATATACTGATCTCGTGAACTGAATATTGTTAACTAAAACTTGAAAAGAGTATTAGTACAAATTCGAACTAAAAGACTTCACTTAGAAATATGGTTCTTTAAGAGTATGCTTGAAAATATTTGTATAAATAGTTCTAATGTAAAACATCTATTTCGGTATAACAAGCCACAAAAAGGATTTGTTAACTTTGTATATGATAGCAGAAAAGTCATCTTTTCATATCTGATGTTAAAGCTGCATGTCTCCAGATGATGCAAAATATTTAAAGAAAGTCAAAATAGTACTAATCTCTTAAGAAAGTAAACACATTCTGAATTAAAGCTGAGCGTCCGTGGCCGAGTGGTTAAGGTCGTTGACTTCAAACCACTTGTCCCTCACCGCTGTGGGTTCGAAACTCCGACCAGGGACCTTTGGATTCCTTCAATGTGAAGAAGCTTTTCAAGCTAGCTTACGGAAGCGTCGATCGGTTCTACTCAGGTTTGCCCGTTAGTGCTGAAAAATATGCACAAAAGGCCCACTGAGGTCTTCCTCCAGCCAGTAAAAGCTGGAAACGTCGCGATATGACCCTAATGCTGTGTCGATGTGACGTTAAAACCGAACAAACAAAACAAGGAAACTGAATTAAAGCAAATATTAACATGGTAAGTGCGATTGATTTTGCATTATACATAACGACATTTCTACTGCGTAGCTATAGCAGTTATGGCTATTCTTACATATGTTCTATGTTGATTGTAAGTTCCGTAAACAACGTCTAAATCACATTCTTTGTTCTATTTACCACATTTTGATTTTAATTACATTTTGAAAACTTTCATGAAAGCTCTGCTGTATGGAGTTTCTACCCGTTACTGATTTTGTATTTCCAATTCCAAGGTCAAAGAAAGGTGTGAAAGGTCCCAAAAGTAAAATCGATTTTTTGACTTTTTGACTTAGAAATCGCTGAAAAGTTATTTGAAAAATCAAAATTTTTTTTTTAAAAATTTTTTGTCCCAAAATTTTGATAAAAAAATTTAATGCTGTTAAGTTTTGTAAAAATCACTTTATTGAGGGGCAAGCGAAAATTTTTGGGCACAGGCTTGTTATATTCGACATAGCTTAACATTTACAGGGGGTCAAAGGTATAGCCGTGCGATACTTTTCGAGGTTAAATCTTGCAAAAAGGAATAATGGCGGCGGAAAGTCTAAAATAATGTGCCGGGTAAAAACCAGTCTGCTTCGAATATTTTTTGTATATTTAATTTTTGTTCGAATAATATAGTGCATGCTGAGCGGAAGATTTATTTGTATGTGATGGTCAAAATAAAAGAAACTATTTCATTGTAAGGAGAAAGTTATTGAGATATTGCTACTTCCAATGTCACCGGCAATCTGACATACTTATAGAAAAGAAAACAATAACAGACATCATGGAACAGAATTTTTATTAGTTATTATAGCAACAACAGGTTTACTATAAATTGCAAAACAAAATACACGAAACATTTTAACTATCTATTTCGCATATATCTATAATAATTCTGATAAACTAACTGTATGCAACCATTTTGGTTCCTTACGATGCGTTTTCATGATCCATTCGACTGATCAATTGATATCTGTGCAATTTGTTACTGGTATGTTGAATTGAAGTTTCCTTTAGTGAACAGTTAACTACCGGGTATATCATACTTAAATTATGTGTATGGTCAAAGCATTCGAAAATGGATATACACTGTATAAGGAAGGACTGTTCTAATTCCATGTTATGATACAGTGAAATTTAGAAGACAATCTAAATCGACGTGTTTTTTGTTGTTTTTATTTCAGAAAATAGTTTTGGTGTGCATGTGTGTGAAAAAATAGCTTAGCCTTAGACATAGCTTTATACTGAATATTGTGGAGTGTGTGTGACATGTCCAATTCAACAAAGGGTCCGTTAGACAAACACGGCGGTGCATATTGGCTCCGCGCCCCTGCAATTTTAACTTGTTTATTCTTGACTTTTCACTTGGCAGGGTCGCAGGGTGAAAACACGAATGGCACAAATCAGCCATCATTGAAGAAGGGAAAAAATAAATATTTTACCATTCTTACGTAAGTTCTTATGTCAGGCATGACAAGTTGGAATGTCGCCAAATGACTTATACTTACTCGGTGTGACGTAAAACCCAAACAAACACACACATTTATTTTTATTTATAATTTTGTTTTCCTTGGCTCCTTATGAAGAATGTAACTTTCTTGAATCACGTGCACTGATGCGTCTATGTTACAAATCACTTAAATCACTTCCATGAGGTTGAAATACCCCCATTTATAACTCCTTAGACTAAGAGACTATATTTGGAAATTGGGCCTCAAAGAAAATACTTGAAATATGGTGGCTGGTCTTAGGATATAGGACACATAAAGACATAATATTTAAAAGCCCATCTTATGTGTTTTGTATTGGTTTAACTGGGTACAAAATAATGTGAGGTATACATGTAAACATAAATTAAAGATCTTTCCAACAAACTTTTAGGATCACTACAGAATTCCTAAAATATTTTAATAAAACGGGTCGTATTATAGTCCCCCCCCCCCCCCAACGGGCGGGCGTTGTTCAATTTTTGTCCGGAGCATATCTCCTACATGTATGTAGAAATTTTAATGAAACTTCATAGAAATGGTCACCACAAAAAGAAGCCTGTCGCGCGCATGAATCAGGTCTCTAGGTCAAAGGTCAAGGTCACATTAAGAGGTCATTGAAAAGCGCATGTCCGGAGCAAAACTCCTACATGCATAGTGAAATTTTAATACAACATGGCACAAATGTTCACTTTTGTAAGGCGGAGTTTCGCGTGCAAAGTTTAAATCCTTGTGGCTAAGGTCAATGTCACTTATAGGGGTCAAAGTCAAATGAAAATCTGTATTCTCACCATTCAGTCATTTATTGAAGGATTGAAACACAAATGTTCATTATCATGACTACTGGTGTGAAACATGTGATTTACAAGGTCGAGGCCACTAAAGATGATAGTCAAGGTCAACAAAGATGATAAAATATAGAGATATTACCCAGAGCATTACTCTTACACATATAGAGCGATACTAATAAAAACGTCATGCAAATGTTCACCACTATAAGCAGCAGTGTCATGCGCATTAATCAGGTATCTAGGTCATTGGTCGAGGTCACACTTTGAGGTTTTTGAAAAACACTAGGCCGGAGCAAAACGTCTACATGCATAAAGAGATTTCACTATAACTTGGCACAAATATTCACCATTGTAAGTCGAAGTGTTGCTTGCAAAATGTAGGTCAATGCGGCCAAGGTCAATGTCACGTATAGAAGTCAAAGTTCAAATAAAACTATGAAAATGTGTATTCGGATAATTAAGTAATCATTTATTGAGGGATTGAACACAGATCGTCATTATTATAACTACTGGTGTGAAACATGTAATTAAGGTTAGTATATATGCAAGATCAAGATGATAAAATATATTAAAAAAATCCCGAACATATTTCCTTTACGCATGGTGGGATTTTAGTGAAACTTTATAGAAATATTCATCACTTTGGGAAAAAAATGTCATATGCATAAACCAGGTCTCTAGGTAAAAGGTTTAGGTCACAATTAGAGTTCATTGAAAAATGCTTGTTAGGAGCCAAACTTCTATATTCATCGGGCAAGTTTAAGTTATTAGCACAAATGTTCACCATTGTGAGGCTTATTGCACACATAATCCAGATCCCTGCTACCAAAGTCAAGATCACATAGAGAGGTCAAACTACTGGAGACTATTTAGTTATCAGTTTTTGATGGATTGTATCACAAATGATAACTATCATGACTACATGCGTGACACAATTAATTTAGGTATATATTTGCAAGTCAAGGTCACTAGAAATGATACAATATCCAGACATTATCCGACATTGCCCAGAGCATAACTCCTATATGCATATCTATAATGCCCACATCTCTGTCAAAAACTTTTGTGACGGGTGTATTTTGCGACAATGTAACAGTTGCATAATAATGACAGTTACACGATTATAGTTGCATAAACAATTTGAAAATATAATGTGTAACACAAGTGATAGTTTAAGAAAGCGAAATAAGTTAGCTTTATTCCTTTGTACTAATATAAGTCATGCACAAAAGTTTTTACTAAATTATCAATAAATCTTTAAGCAAATGCAAAAGTTACATATGCAATTAATATGCATAAATCAGATAAAAAATTAAATATTTGATCGGTCTTAGAAGTAGTTGAAACTTTTCTTACACTTAGCATACGATAACAAAAACATTTAAGCGAACATCGACAAAATGCTGAATGACAAAACCTATAACCAACCTGCGGATTATTATTGATTTTATATTTTTATTCAATGTCTGTCATGGAATTGAATATCTAACAAAATAGACCAATAATTGGTTCTGGACAAATGATTCCTTTAACGGGGCAATTTTTAAGACCAGAGGAAACACAAATGGGTTTCAGTGAAATATGATGTAAAAGTTTTCATTATTGAAAGGCAAATTCATGCCAAGAAATGTTGACATCTAGTACATCAGTATTGAGATTGTAAATCTTTTCTACAAATAACATTTTTAAGTTTGAAAGGACCATAACTAAAAACGCGCAACCCGATTGTAGCAATTGATGACCTGAGTACCATAGCAATCCAACCAGTCATGTGTAATTATATTTCTATTTAATTTCCTTATAATAATACCTTTTTAAGTAATAAGACAACTCAAAAAAGAAACCTTCTTATTATAAAAAAAAATGTGTTGAAACTTACTAATCCTCTCATTCCTATTCAACACACCACTTTTATGACATGGACGCTTGGGAATTTTTGGGTTTACTTTAATTTGTGTTTTTTTATCCTTTTCTGGGATTTTAAACATGAACATTTTAAAGTAATGTTATGTACGAAAGTAAGTCATAAATCATGACAGACCGAATAACTGATAGACAGACGGACGGACGGATCATCGGGATGGATGTTCAACAATTTTTGTTTATGCGCCTTTCTATTTTTATCTTTAAAGTGCATTTTTTGTTAACATTTTAACAAATTATCTATGTTGTTGCCTTTTCAGCTAAAATAATGGACGAAAAAAGTTTATATACACAACTTAATTTTCAAAAAGTCAGACGGACTTAACTATTCCAAAACCAGCTCTCGGGGTATAACAAGTTTGTAAGTGATAGTATATTGTTAGTTCATGTGTAAGTTAAGTATGACCATTTTGAATCGCTATGTTAAACATGCATGAAAATTCTCTGATTTATTTTTTATCGACAAACAAATTCAGAAATGCAAAAATATACAACTCAATCGTTCTTAACACCAGTTTTTTGAAACAAAGAACCATTGGAAAATTGTTTCACGGCTTTGGTTCACCTTTTCGTAAATGTCCGTATTCCTACAAAGTATATTCATCTCAACTTCGGTAAACATATTTATCGGCAAACATAGACGTCATTTCAAAAAGTAACATATTTCTAAAATTATTTTACGCAATTTAAAGTTAAGTATTTTTTCAACTTTCAAGTTTTAGCCCTGGATAACCTCAAACGTGATACACTTTTTCACAATGTCTTTCAAAATATGGCATCATTTTAAAAGTGCACATAATCAAAAATTATAATTTGCTTTGTTATGCCCCTTTCTTAAGTATTTTTTTTTATTTTCTAAAATCAATTTCCCAAATATTGTAAAAGTTAATTACTTCAAACTTAAAAACTGTTCAACGTTTAATTGGAAAACATTTGAAAGGAAAGTAACTTTATAATATTTTTGTCAGATATGTAGCCTTTTTGACTTGGTATACTGATTTGTTAAATTGAATTTCTCAAACAGCATAAGATATTACCATTTAACTTTGAGGATGTGTTCACTACCAAATTAAAATGCATTTTCAAGGGGAAGATAATCCTTATAAGCCAGTTTTGCTTTTATACTTTTAACCTTTGGCTGAAAAAAAACCAACAGTGTAAGGTATTTACTTCATACTTGTTGACTATTAAGAGCAGGTATTTTTACTTGATAAGCATGTTTGCAGAATTATGATTCTTTCTGTGTTAACTGTCTAGCATTAAGAAAAGTGGGAAGGGGGCTTCCAGCGATAGGTCTTGTTTTTAACTAGGTCCTTGTGTATCTTAATTTTGGAGCACAAAACTAGTGATAGCTACTTATTTTGTGATATTATTTATATTTGTAAATGAACAATGCTACTCTTATTACCAATCAGATTCAATAATTCTAAACTAGATACATTTAAGAAATCTTATTTAGATCCAAAATAACACTCCTTGAAACCTATCTGCATTAGATTGTGTGTTTCCTGCTACATTTTTATCTTTTTGTGCTTAAAAAACATAGGGTTGTTTTCTTACAATCATAGTTAGTTTAGACCAGATTCATTTATTTGCACATCTTAAAAGTATAATATACACTTATACTTTCTGGCCATTATTCCACGTTACATGTTGCATGGTTATTGAAGAATCAAAAGGGTTTTCTTGTGTTACGTTTAAGAATGTTCGTCTTCAATAGAGATTTAGCAGAAGTAAATAGAATGATCCTATTCTTTAGACCCTTTTCTCCTTCGAAAAAATATTATTATATTGATTTATAGCTGTGACACATTTTTAACTTCAGTGTATAAATCAGACATGGGGTAATCGTAATCGGTAATTTAATTTAATTCAATCGATTACAATTTTTTGAATAATCACAGTAATCAGTAATCATAATTTTTTTCCTGTAATTTAATCATAATTTAATCAATTACATGACCAATTAATCAGTAATCACAATGATTACATTTATGATTACAATACATGTTAAGCTAAAAAAAAAATGAGTCACCCAGGTCAGATTTGATGACACCTGTGTTTTAATAAGGTGATGAAAAGATCACTGACAGATTAACCCAATACATAAATGATCGTCACAATTATACCACTTAAATTTAGCTGTGAAATTATAACAATGGCCTGGATAGGTATATTATCACTTATTGAGAATATTTTACAGGTTCAGTAAAGAGCAAGTATAAGCTGTAATTACTGACAAAAGTGAGATATCAGGTTATATTTTCTGTTACATTTTGGTATTGTTAAGTCCATGTAGAAGCAAAAAGTACAAACAGATTTTCATCATATCGAAAAGAAAGCAATACGCTAGCATGGCAGGAAATATGCATGCTGTTTTTAAATACTTCATATTGCCAGAAAAAATTATGAGAATATAGCTTAGTAAATAGGAGTCTACACATGTAGGCCTACATGTGTAGACTGAATGAATTACTGTAAAACTAAGCTTGTACATTTGTTGTATTGAAATGTTTAATAAAAAGATAGTGTTGAACCATTGCATTTCTTAAACTATGTACATGTAATCAGTAATCATAAATGTTATCTGATTACTCCTGTCAGTAATCAGTAATTTAATCAATTACAATGTCAAAATGGAGTAATCAGTAATTTAATTTAATCAAGCATTTTGACAAATAATCACAATTTAATCGATTACAATTGTCAAGTAATCGCCCCATGTCTGGTATAAATTATGTTCCTTTGACCTTGAAATTGAATAGACAAAAAAGAATAACTCAGACTGTCATGCGATAAATTGACGTCAAAACTGATTATGACGATTTGATATTCTGCAGCAAAAATTCTTCAAAAAGTGCGATAATCTATTTTATGTGTAGAAAAGTCAATAAACTAAAATTGATTGAATTGACATTTGCTATAATGCTGAAAAGGTCGCTGAACTTTTAAATGCTTTGATTTAATTATAAAGGTAGAAAGAGATAATGTCCCTTTTCATTGCAAATAAAAAGTATTAAGCGTTATATCGCAATCAAATCAGCCGTTTGTCATAATATTGTAATCGGTGTGTATTCGCTGATAACGGCTCATCATTTGACATCCAAATTGTTCTCAGATGTTTTAAAATATTATTTGTGGTCGGGAATTTGAAATAGCGGTCAGTAGCTTTGTTAAATTAAATAATCGTTCATGTGTTATTTGACAAATATGCCATTAAATGTGCTATTAAAGTCTTAAGAGCGACAGTTATTTGGTTTGAGATGTTACTACTCGCATAATCAAATTTCTTCCCACCGACATTGTCAAAGCTGAAAACAATATCTTTCCAGTTGAACAGATATATAGTATTATGTATTTTCTTGTATTTATCAGTATTTGTGTTGTTTATTTAAGTAAAGAAATGATTATTATGTAAATTAGAAGACAGTAGTTAGAAGAAAAGTACTCTTACTGTACAGTATATCGTCGGCCCAAAAATGTCATCCATAACAGCTGCAGTGTCTTTAATCCCCGTGAAAATGTCACCAACAAAGAATGTTACTTCTAGCATTACCAGATATAGTTTATCCTAAATAATATATTATTTGTTCATATCATGTTATTCATATTGTTGTGTTTTACATTATTTCATTTAATCATTATCATGATTTTTTTGATATCATTAGCATGTTATGTTTTCTATAAAAATAGAACAATACGATTGGATGAACTGAGTCGTTTACACGTCCTTGAATATGTAGCACATAACCTTATTTAGTAGGTTATGTTTTTTATCATACAAAAGAATTACTTTAGTGTTCGAAAAAGACAGGTGAAAGAAATATACATATGTATATATAATTTGTTGATGAAAACTTAAGTGCGATTAATCAATTTATTGCCATGATAAATGTCAGATAGTCTTTCAATGGTAGGCATATTAAATGTGAAACAACAAAGAACTTTTATTTAAGCATAAAGATAATATGCATTCTTCTGTATGCACATGTACTCCACTTCTCACCGTGTTGCTTTGAAAATAAAGCAACAGCAATATAGTTTTCAACACATTGATGTATACAGACTAAATGCCATCAATGTCATATATTATTGTTTTACTTTGGAGTTAATCATTATCCGCCATTTACTAATCAGCTAAAATAGTAAAATGCATAACTTACTACAATAAGTGATCAAAAAGAATTGCTTACAGCTCTGTTGCTTAAAATCCTCAAGAAAATGGCAACATATCAATGCAAAACTGTATAGAGCTGCTCAATACTTACATAATGATGTTTACATGTAGCTATATGTAGTGAACAATAACGATTTTGAAATCGAATTCGCATTCTTAAGTACCGCAGTAAAATTGATTGGTTAAAACATTGATAAGAGAAAAGAAATATTGGCTTATTTAAAGGCTTGTTCTAAGCTTGGTTATTTTTTGAAGGAAATATTTTCTGAAGAATCTGATATTTACAATACCTCTGAAAACGAAATTTAATTATTTAAGATACAGGCTACAAGCTAGCAATTGCTAAACGCTTGTTGAGTGCAAATTGATTCATGATGTAATTTTCTCCCCTTAGCAAATGAAGATACCAGTGAAAAAAGAAAGAAAAAGTGTTCATGTAACAAATATAAGGATATAGCACTGAAAATCACTATTAAAACAGATGCCGATTTACCATTTTCATTAAGATATGAACGACATTTTCACGATAATGTCCCAGCTCGTAACTTAGCCCTTTATAAACTAAAAGTCTTTCAGAAATTAAAAAGTATTCGTGGGATGTAGGTACTTTACAAGTCTGACGCTTAGATCTAGCTTTTTTCAGTTTGTTAACAGAATGCAAACTTTCCCGGAAAAGGATCTATCAACGAACATTTTTAGGAAAATGGATTATTTCGAGGGAATGGTAAAATTAGTGATAACTTAAACCTAAAACATCCTACCGGGTATTTAATACGAAATGAGCAAGTTATTATTTTCGAACCACTCCTTGTAGATTTCTCTAAAATTCGATTGATTTAAATTGTAATCAGATATTGTTCATAAATTTACGTTAAAAAAGGGTAAATATTTAATCAAATAAGTGGTGAGAAAATGTTCAAGTAATGTTACCAATAATGTTCGATCCCTTTCAATCAACGTAAGACTGGCAAGTTCAAGGTAAACTGATATAGCATCCAACGAAAACAATATTGCATGTAACGCATTCTTGTGTAAGGCACCTTCCGTTTCCACCTGATTTAATAAACAAACAAATATTGGTAAAGAGTTATTGAAGTATTTAAATATAATCAAGTATTTTACTTATAGTCCCTATGGCAGTGAAAGGGTTAAGATATTTTCTATGAAGTCGCTCTAGTCTTTCTGCTTTTGCAAAATGTCTTCCTCACAGTTCAGAACAATATGACATTAAATATGTTACATAAGCATCAAACAGGTTAAAGTTTATATGTAGTGGTATTTGCATCACTCGAGTGATGTTTTTGAGAGAAAACATTGATTTAAGAGCTTTATCTGCTAATGAATATATGCCTTTTTCGAAATGAACCGCCACTGCTCGTTACAAAGCCTAGGTAGTAAAAGTTTTCAACACTGTCTATGGTATGGCCGTTATATGTCCAAGCCTGATTTCTTGGTAATTGACCACCATTTCGGAATACCATACTTTTAGTCTTTTCAACGTTAACTGTTAGGTGCCATCTTTTACAATAAGCCTCTAATTGGTTAAGATTGGTTTGAAGAGCTTCCGGGGTTTCGCTAAGCTATACACTGTCGTCTGCAAAAAGGATTCAGTATATAGATAACTGGTCTAAAGTCTATATTTTCCTCTAGGCATACTTCAAGGTCATTCACGAAATGGCAGAATAGTAATGGCGAAGTAAGCTCCCCTTGGAATAGTCCATTATCAATTTTAAAGAGGTCTGATAGGGAATTTAGGTGTTTAACGCAAGATCGTACGTCACTATACATGGACAGTAACAATTTAAGCGATTTTCCATCAAAACCTTCCTTTATTAGCTTGTACCAGAGACCGTTTCTATATATAGTGTCAAAGCACTTCTGATAGTCAACAAAAGCAGCATACACCTTTTTAATTTGTAAAGTATACTTCTGTATGATAGTAGATAAAAGAAAACATCGTCGGTAGTACTGTGACCCGACTTGAACCTAAAATGTGCATCATAATTTTTGGTCCATACTTTCATTCCCTCATTTATTACTTATTAGCGTGAGTCCCCTATAATTGTTTGAAATGTTAGATGGTTGTTTTATCAAAATAGATATTATTAATCCTTCTGACCACTGACTCGGAAATTCACCTGCGTCAATAATTTTGTTGAATATTAGTAACAATGGTTCGGAAAGGATGTCAATACAAATTTCATTTATCATATTGTCTAACCCAGCGGCTTTGTTTCTGTTTTAAGAGTTAACAACTTTACGTTATTCATTCTCCGTAATTGGCATGTCTAATTCCTCGAATGTTACTTCTTCCGTGTTATCACAATTATTGTCAAATTCGATTAAACACTCTTGTACATCGTCGTTATCATCCACTTTTGCGTCCAGAGAATTAAAATAATTATAAAAGTCATCTAAAGTAACACTCTCATCGACTGGTTTATTGCCCTGCTTAAAATTTTTCCAAAATGCTCTTGGCTTTTTACGCTGCATTTCATTAATTTGTCTCCCTTTGTCTATATTATATAACGCTCTTGTTTTTCGTACGAAATATTTGTAGTCTTTTTAAAGGCGTTGAAAATTTTCGAAATTATCTGTTTTTCTATCACAGTTGTACCTTTCAAGGGCCTCTCTATATCGCTTCCGTTTATTTTCGCATTCAATATGAAACCACAAAACAAATTACCCAAATCACGGTCATACGCCGCTCTTCCATTCATAAAACAAATATTTAATATCTTTAAATGTCTATTAAATAATCACCGTATCTATTACTTTGGTTATCCATTGAAATTCGACGATTTGGGGTACTGTTTAAAAGTGCAATGCCTGTAATACGCTCGTTTCAATAAAATCAAGTTTTTGACCTACTTGACAGTTAAGGTCACCTATCCATCACGTCCGACCTAATTGTGAGAAGTGACCTATTTCGTCCCCAACTTTGTTAAACAGGTCAATATTATATACGTTATATGCCGGCGAGCCTTCAGGCGGTATATAAGTCGCCGCTATATACCAATCATTTTCAGTTTGAAAAAAGTATTTATCTCTAGTTTAATCCAAACAATGCATCAATATCATTTCGTATCAGCTTAACACCCTTTCTAATACTGTCCTTTATATGGATAATAAGTTAATAACACCACCACTTGCTGGTTTCGCTCGCCTATGTTGAAAGCTTCTAAATGAGTGGATAGGGTTGCTATATCAACTTAACGAAATGTTCGTGTTTCTACTGGTGAAAGTTTCATACAGACATATGACATCGTATTCTTATATAAAATTTGTGAAATCCTCGCAAGACCGTTTCGCTTTGGTTAATCCTTCCACATTCCAGGATATAAATTGTATGCTATTTTCGGTTAAACCTTAGGTTTGAGGCCCTGGTGCAAACTCTACATCGTTAATAAGCAGCTTATCATACCTAAAATATGCCTTCTTCTTTTCATCCTTGGCCTTTTTAAAAGCCCCATGTAAGGCCTAACGTTTGTCCGCAATGTCTTTCGGGAAATGTGCGACACTAATTGCCGTGATTTTTAGATTTGAACATGATTTACGCACTTTTTCACGGTCATCGAACTTTTCAAATTTCACTTCGACGGACCTTGTATTTTCTGACTTAAACGCCCGATTCGCTCAACGCTTGCTAACACAATGTTTTCTCTAGCATTGTCGATTTTCATTTTATCTTGTAGAATATCAAACATAGACGATTTGCTTTCATTTGGGGTCTCTTCCTCAGAATCGGGAACCTTAAAGAACAAAAGGTTGTTTTTCAAAGGATCGCACTTGAGTTTATTAACCATATCGTCACAAGTTGACCGCTCCGATTCCTGCATCCCAAGGCGCTGTTTTAAACTGTCAACCTCCTTCTGCTTTTTCGTGATCGCGTTGTCGCTCGTAGAGTCAAAAAATCGACTTGTCTCCAGATCCGTTAATCTCTTTTCAAATGTAATTATCTTTTCATCCACGTTGTTTAATTGCCCCATTATAACGTTAATTGACGATTGAATTGAATCTAACTGTAACAGTTTATTGTCCACCATGTCAAGACGATGAAGAATGAGGGAAAATGGGCCAATGTGTGGCGTTGATTGTTGTAAGATAGGTGTACTGGGCGTTGTCATGGCCCCTTGGGGCGTGCACTGACCATACACAGGTAAACCTGATTTTTGCATCATATTGCCATTATATGTAAAGGTTCCAGGATTGATAAAGTTCTGACCTGTATAAACGCTGCTCAAATGTCCATTTATAATCCCATTTATTATCCCACCTGTCGCTGGTGACGTTTGGATAGAAGCCATATTTTGTCTCTTTTTTTCAATACTCTCTTTGTTGTCATTTGAACTCTTACTCTTTTACGTTTATTAGCCATACATTCCAAATAAAAGAATCAGAAATAACTCATTTTACATCCACAATAGTTGAATGTAACACTTATGGGCTTTCAATATTTTCTAACACTTAATTTTGTCGAAATAAGTCCAAATATTTTGATATTTTTCGAGCTTTTCAAAAATTACTGCCATACTCACGCATGCGCATTACGCAGTAGAATCAATACATCAATTATTTCTAGCAATATCTAGATGTCTAGATAATAAAAAACGTTTCGCATCATTGATTATGAATACAAATTGTTTAACAATGCACCGCTTTGAATGAAAACCCACTAACTATTTATCAATACAATTATCCTAAGCTCTATTCAAATAATAATAAAAGGTGATAATCACGAATATTCGCGACAGCAGTTAGACTGTTTCTTTACTTAGACATAGATCTGTCATGCAGTAAAGCCGTGGTATTCAATAGTTAATTTATATTGTCATAGGACGGCGCGTGCACGCGCCGTCTAGAAGATATGCTTTTGTCCGTATAGCAATGGGGATTTTGTGCATTTTTGTTTTTTATTTTATCAAAATCACATTGTTTTCAAATTTTCTAATAAAAATACATTTTCTGATGTACAACATGTCACAGACCCGTCTATAGTCTAATGACGGACAGAGAACAGGAGGTATAACTAAAATACGTAACGGAGATTATTTTTACCATACTTAGATTCTATGCGAATATGCAATCTTGTATTTTTTCAAGTAGTTTAATCTTTTATAAATAAGTACACAATACGTAACAAAGAATTTATTAGTACATCAATTTATTCATAACTATTATTTGATATTACAGACATATTTTCGCTATTTGTAAAATAACAGACAGTTCGTCCTCAAAATCATTCGAACATTATGCAATTCGAACTAATATTTAAATGGCCATATTCTCGGCACATATTAACCAATCATTTCAATGTCACTTGTTATCCAGTTTATTTTGCTTCGACCAGACGTTTCAATCTTTGTTGCAACAGACAAACATTTCAGAATTTCAGACACATACCAAGAACATGGAGAAAAAATTATTTAATGCTTTCAAATTGGATCTGCTGTAATATAGAACGATTTTTAATTCTGATTTTGTACATTAGCTATGACTGTTCACATCATTTGGCGTCGTCTTTGATGTGCAGCATCAACATTTAACTTGTTTTTGTTTAAAACGATTTGTTGAGTTGAGAACACGGTTTGTCACATTTTGATATAAAATTATAACCTGCTGCTCATTCCACATGTGCGGATGTTTCAAAATTCTAAATTTTACCAGTTTATGTTCAATGTTGAATTCTGCTTAAGCCGGGGCTAGGGGGCGTGGACGGTTGTTTGCACTTTACAGTACCCTCCATAACAAGGCTCAATCAAACCGAGCCTGCAACATTTTTATGTTTTGTGTTACCCTGTTCCGTCATTCCGTCCTTCCATCCTTCCGTCATTCTGTCATTCCGTCATTATCAGTTTCCGCTCATTATCTTAAGAACAGTTGCACACATTCAACTCAAATTTGACATATGGACATTTCATAAAAAAATACAGGTCAAGTTCGAATTTGGTCATGGTTCGATGACTTTTTGCAGAGTTATGCCCCTTTTACTTTGAAATAATATGAAATTTTCAGTTTCCGTTCATTATCTCCCCAAAAGTAAAACACATTCAACTCAAACTTGACATATGGATGCGTCAAAAGAATGCACAGGTCAAGTCCAAATGTGGTCATGGTTCAATGATTTTTGGCAGAGTTATGCCCCTTTCACTTTGAAAGTAATATGAAATTTTCAGTTTCCGTTTATTATCTCCCCAATGGTACAACACATTCAACTCAAATTTGGCATATGGGTATGTTTTTGGAATGTTTAGGCCAAGTTCGAATTTGGTCATGGTTCAATGATTTTAGACAAACTTATCTATCCTGAATGTTGGAAAATTTTTGAACTTTCAGTTTCAGCTCTTTTAGCCATTATTTTGGCTACAAATATGCTATATGCTATTTTTAAAAGGTTAAGACTGAATAATTTCAGTGCCTTCAACATTGTATGAAAATGGTTTGTGTTAACATTGAAAAGTTTTAAGGGCTTTGAACTTAAAATGAAAAAAATCATTAATGCACCATCTGAATTTTTGGCTGCATGCGGGGGCATCCGTGGCATGATGACACATTTCTAGTTAATTATGCCGTGTTGTGCTTCTTTTAGGAATTCTTATATCTTTTGAATTCTTATTTCTCCCTATTTTATCGCCACATCAGCTTAGTTTGTGCCGTGTGGAGGTTGTCAAAATGCGCCCCGTACATTCAATCAGGGATGTTATATTTCCTATCCTTAAAAATCGTTCAGCACGACATTATTGTTGCGCTTGTGGTATTTTAGTTCTTTCTTTTCGGCATATTTCTTGTTGGGTTGTTCCAGTATTTCTCACTTGAATACTGTTGAATCACCCTTAGGATATGTGGCCTGCTTTTTAAATTTGTCTTTTGACGTCATATCTGTTATATGCAGGCTTTATAACCTCAGATTCCTAAAAAACGCTTGTTCGGAGTATCACTTATTACATGTATAGAGGGATTTTAATATAACTTTGCATAAATGTTCACCATTGTAACGTAAGGCAGAGTGTCGCGTCCAGACTTTTACCGAGCCTGCAACATTTTCAATATTGTTGTGTTGGACTTTCTTTAGGGATTCTGTTTTTCTCTATTTTAGGTCCCTTTGGCAAAAGTCAAGGTCACATATAGGTGTCAAACCTCAAATAAAGATATGAAAATGTGTTTCCGGACCATTTAGTACAGTAATGATTTATGGAGGGATTGAACCGCAAATGGTCATAATCATGACTATTGGTGTAAAACATGTACAAGGTCAAGGTTAATCAAATTATAGAAATTTTGTCAATAGCATATCTCCTACACGCATGTTTGGATTCTAATGAAACATAAAAGAAATGTTCATTACTATGAGAAGTAGTGTCGCGTGCATAAACCAACTCTCTAGGTGTAAGGTTAAGGTCACGCTTAGAGTTCATTAAAAAAAATGCTTGTTCGGAGCCGAACTTCTACATTCATCGGGGGATTTTAAATTTAAATGTAACTTGGCACACATGTTTACAATTGTGAGGCTTATTGTGCACAAAATCCAGGTCCCTCTACCAAAGTCAAGGTCACATAGAGCGGTCAAAGGTTGTGTATAGGGACCATTTAGTCATCATATCATTGATGGATAGTAACACAAATGATAACTATCATGACTACAAGTGTGACACATGCAATTATGTTAATATTTGCATAGTCAAGGTCACTAGAGCTGATAAAATATCCAGATATTTTCCGGACATTGCCTAGAATATATCTCCTATATGCATATCTAAAATGCCCACATCTCTGTAAAAAGCTTTTGTGACGGGCGTATTTTACGACAATTTTGCCCTTGTTTAGCTACGTTCGACACAAGTTGATAATTGCATTTTTAAGTGTAATATCTTTGACAAAACAGAGCAAACTCACAAGCATAACCCAAAGTGCACAACTTCTCATGCTGGCCTGTAAATGTTAAAGACCCTAGGTCAAATACTTTTTGAGCTATGTGCGACACAAGTGGAAAATTGCATTTTTTTACTTAGTCCGAGGCAATTACTCAGACAGAACAAAATCAATTCACCAGCGAAACCACAGGTGCACAACTACAAAGGCTGAGCAACATTTCTGTAGAGTTTTGTGACTCTAGGTCAAATACTTTTTGAGCTACGAGCAACACAAATTGAAAATTGCATTTTAAATAACGTGCGACACAAATGAGAATTGACGGACAGACACTTCTCACTCTCATATATAGCATATTTTCTAATACAAACTAAATAAATGAATTTATATTAAATGAATATAAATTAAATTTATTATTCATAGCATAAATGTGATTTTAAGCAAGGGAAATGTTTTACCTAAAATGAATAGAATATTGATATTAGTTTATTAGCTGGCCTACTTACAGAAGCTGTGCTATTTTCCTTTGAATATGTTGATGTACTCGCCGGAGAAAATATTGTTTGATCATGCCAGTCACCTTGTTCCGTAATTTTCTTCTTTTTTTCATTGTGATGTTTTTCTTTTTCTTGTGCCCCTTTCGTTGAATGAATATCTTTTACAAATGGGCGCTTTATCGCTGTCTTGTACTCTTTCTCTTCTCCATCTTTAATTCTATAAGTGATTTCTTTTCCTGCTGTACAGTATTTTGAAATCTAAAAATAACCACGCTAAATGTAAGACGATTGTATGCTAATTATAGAGCAAGAAAAGGAACTGCCTAGATCACATTCCAAAAAAAAACAACAGGATTTGCATAAATGTGATTTTAAGCAAGATAGATGTTTTAACTAAAATGAACAATAAAAAAAGAACATTGAAAACACAGTTTATATTGGCTTGCCTACTTACAGAATCTGTTCTATCTTCTTTTGAATATGTTGATGTACTCGCCGGAGAAAATATTGTTTGATCATGCAAATCACCATGTTCCGTAATTTTCTTCTTTTTTTCATTGTTATATTTTTCTTTTTCTTGTGTCTCTTTTGTTGAATCAATATCTTCTAAAAGTCGCATGATCGCTGTATTGTGACATTTCTCTTCATCTTCTTTAACCATATAACTGATTTTCTTTTCTTCTTTACATAATTTTGAAATCTTAACATCACCAGTCTTAATCGGTTTCATGATATCCCCCTGTCCATTTAGGTTTTCTACCTCATCATCGGTAAACGTATCTATTTTATAACAAGCATTATGCTTTAACTATTAAAACCTCAATTCGGAATGTGTCGTATCATTATATAAGGAAATCATATTCTTTATCATTTCATTTTATTGACTGTCACGTGCACCGTGTAAAATGTAACAGTTCAAACCAAAAACGAATAATTTATTAATCCTATATATTTTTGTTTCAAATGAACATTATAAAATCAAAAATAGCTAACGTCCTGTTAAATTTGTCACTTTTTCTTATTTTTTAAAGACAAACAAACCAAAGAAGAATATTGTGTTCCAGAATTCTCCAAAAACATCTTTTCTTGAATAAAATATAATTAATTTCATATTTGGCACGGACAGTCAAGGCCATTAACAGATAAGGAACACACATAAAATCAATACTGTCATTAACATATCGATGTCGTCATAGGCGTTGTTCTGTCACATTATAAATAAATAAATAAAAACACTTTTAAGCACAATTAAAACTTAACCATGACGATCAACAGTAGATCAGTTTTCGAATTAAAGTTTTGTTTTGTCGAAGTATAAATAAAACATAATCATGTTATCACAAGGCAAAGAAATAGTTTGACCTTGACGGTCAAAGATACTTTTATTTTTAGTGATTCAACACTGCAGTGCCTTAAGAGTCATTTTGTCTAAGAACGAGTCAAATACGTAAACAAGGTCATGACCACGACATTCGACCACGATAATTTGAAGTTTAAGGTCATATTGAAAGTAGTCAACATGACGGGTTTATCATAAGTGTCAAATCTATCCAAATTTAAGTATAAAGCAAAACTATAAATACATAAATAAAAAATATGATAATATGACAATTTAAGCAAATTTCAATAGCTTTTGAAATTGTTTTGGGTACAATAATTAATCACATTTGCCATCATTACATTGAAGCAAATGTCTAAGTATTTTGCATCCAAACTCAAGGTGATTTAAAAGGTTACGGTCATATTTGAATACATCAACATATTGGATTTGTCGTGTTTATTTTCTAAACAAATGATTGCAAATTTGTCCTATAATGTCAATGTCAAACAACGGTCGAGGTCAATTTCAATAGCATAATGATGTGTGTTTTGTCCTATGCATTATTGAATTTTGCCCAAATATGAAGAAATTCAATTTATTACCTACAAAGTTATGACAAATTATGGTAAAAACAGTAAAATAACAATGATTTAACCTTAAGTGTTTTCATGAGTCAAGGTCAAATTGATTTTGATAGTCTTTAAAATATTGTCCTTAATGTAGTTTTGTTGAAAAAGTCCATTCATAAGTTTTTGCTAGAAACAGCAAACATTCAAAATTTGATCATCAAATTTTGAATCAATTATGAGTTAAGGTCACTGTCTATGAAAGACATGTCCTGAGGACGGTTTAGTCCAAGTAAGAAATCAGCCAAGTCGTACATAAATATAGCCAAGTATAATTAAATAGAGTTTTAAAGATTAACCTGTAAAGTCAATGGCGTGTTTGGTTCAAGGTCAAGGTCATTCTGGTATACTTTAAGTTCTTGACTTAAAGAAGTGGTTTGTCAAAAAAGAAGACAATCGGTAACGAAATGAAAAATAAAATAAAATTAGACAAATGTCAACGAGGACGACCTCATGAGTATAGAAATAACTCGATTTTTATTTTACTTTTGTAAAGGGGAGCTAAAATTACAAACACTAATACTAACCATCCTTTTCACGATTCACATTTGTCGAACAACTTGCTTGAATCGATAAATGCGGGGTACTGAATTCTGATTCAAGTTCTGTTTTCAGTAGTTGTAGACAAGTATGAAGCTCGTTGTTGCAGTCTTCATAGAAAGATTCGCTCCTTTCAGATTTTGCGTTCCGAGCTGAAAATGATAATGTAAACCTCCTGCCCTCATTAAGTGGTTGAACGTTATCAATGTTGAGTTCCGATAAAAATCTATCGACAGATGAGACTAAAAATATAACAAGAAAGTTAGCTCCTTAAGCACAAATTCAACAAATTTGTCTAATACGAGATACAATGTAATTTGTATTTGCAATAATACTGTAACGCATATTTTATTCAATATAACAAAAGCCCTTGAATGTTGAAGGTCGAATTCCTTACGCTTTATTATTGCGAAATCTCAAAAAATTCCGGTTAATTACAAACAATGATGACTTATTTAATAATGATACAATAATCGCAGCTTGAGTATGGAGTTCTGCATCAATTTATTTAAGTTTTTTTAACAATCAAAATGGCAAAGCTACACCAGGTAGAATCCTGGCAGTTTTACAGAAATTAAACGAATCATTTATTCTCAACGCAGTAAAATTGAAACGTTTCAATATAAAAATGTACTATCAAACAAAAAAAAGCAATAAGGAACGCTAAATGTCATATTGTCATAAGTGAACATAGTTTCTTACTTGATTTATCCAAAACATTCCAAAACTCGTCTCTATAAATAGTAGTCTGAAAGCATGGCTTCCCACCACTGACCAATTCGGTTAATGCTTCATTTAAATCTGATAGATTGGTGTTTATTTGTCCATTAATGTGTTCCCTAAACAAGGCGGCAAGCGATTTAAAATTACTACATCTTATATGTAGCTGTATACATTCATGAACAGCGCTTATGATTCTCCATCCTTTGGAAAGAAATAGCTGAAATGTTTTATTGACTGCCGCTCTTAGCCTACCATATGAATTGAGTGGTATGCTGGATTTGAAGTCATTGTCCTGATTCATGACCTCTTCAAACAACTGTTGTAAAACATCAGACATATGTGCTTCTTCGTCATTACTGACATTTTTCAAATCAAGAAAAATGTTAACTCCTGTAGCAAGAAATAAAGTATAGGAGCGTTTATGGTACAAAAATTTAATAAATTTAGATATAAATTAATAGGTAATGATGGCACACATATAACATGAAATGCGTTATTCGTGTTGCCCTACGAGCATCAATATTGTTCACGTATTAAGTTTGTAAAAAGTAAGTGTTTCACTTTGATATATTGATTTTCATTATCAGAAAATATAATCAAGTAATTTGTATTAATAAGGAGATTAATTTATAAATATTTGTCTATACAGAATTCATACATTGTAATCTCTACAGATGATGCTCATAAATCTATCGCAAAGAAAGAGACTAAATAAATGTATAAAAATGATCTTTACCGGGAACAAGAACATTGTTCCTAGCTGAATCGATTCCAGAACTTCCCCTTTGGTCGAGCTTATTATTTATGAGTTCACACTTGTCGTCTAGTTTCTCAAACTTTTCTAAAAGTATTTCTTCAACTGTAAAAACAATAAGATACGTTGACACAAATGCATGAAATTCAATGTGTTATCGGTTTCAGAATTTAGTTTAGAAAATAATGTGAAAAGAATCGCATTATTCCAAATGTATAAATATGTTCATCACTATAAAACACTTTAAAGATTTTAACCAGTAAATAAGGTTTAGGTACAGTGGTACAATATATGCAGTATTTAATGTATAAAAGGTACATACCATGGTCTAACTTTTCACGGACTTCCATTTCCATCAAGTAAAACTTACGCATCTCTTTAAGCGTTTCGCCAAGTGAAAGAGGTTCACTTTCTAAATTCTTGATAATATTGTCTACCTCTAGCTTCAAATCTTTGTCGTCGAGTTTCTCTAAGATTCTACCAATGATTACTTGTATCATTTCAATTTTGTTTTTAAATTCGGTATTTGTGATTTCCGCGTCGTTCATGTGACAGAGATCATTCCGTATTGTTCGTAATTGTTTTATGTCCAAAAGATCTATACCAGTCAAACCACAGTATGAAGAAAGGACTTGACAGAAAAGTGATAAATCCCAGTTTGAAAGAACTGTATCGCCGGTTTTAGGGAAAAGGACTTTCCACTTCTCTTTTGAAAGCTTTGACTTAATTATAATTTGTTTTTTACTTTCCAAAAATGTTTTGAGTGTCCATGCGTTTGGTTGAAAGTCTTTTGGTTTAAGCTCATCCACGCGCTTTAATAGAAGATTATGACATGCTTTTGTCCCACCTTTACTAAGCATGAGACACAGTCTGCAATGTTTTTCTGTGCCGCTTGTTGACATTTTGATAAAAATCTGAAATTTAACAAAAAACGTAAATTAAGTGTTCAATTATAAATATATTATTAAGTAAACCATTTTCTTGAATATAAAATAAACTGAAATATGTTTAAATGGTTATTTAGAACAACATACAATTTTGTTTGAATACATCTAAAAATGTGCTTTAAGAAAAAATTGGTCACGTGGACATATGATAATATTTTTGGACCCATTTTAAACACGTAGTACATTTTTTTTCCTTTTCATTATATTACGGAATGAATATTTATTTTGGTTTTATTAAAATAAATTTTCTTTTTAAACTTTCTTACTTGTAACGTATACTAAATCATGTTCTTGCATAAAAACTGCACAACCGGGTACACATTAACAGAGGACAAAGCATGCATAAACTGATATACGCGCTGTCATTGCACTTTTCTAATATGCGTGGCTGAGAAACAACTAAATACAAGTTCAATTATCAAAACATTTCTGTCAAATGACGTCACTATGGCAATAGAAAAACATTGGACCACATGCAGTGGTTCTTGACACAAAAACAAACAAATAAAGAAACGCTGAATGGCTAGTTTGGACGAGATCGGGCTTTAAACGGGTCCTCGTGCTTCTGCAAATGTAAATGCACAAAGAAAATGTGCCTCACCCCTTTTCTATTATAAACCAACCTGATACTTAAGGTTTATCACAAATAAGAATACACCCTTTGTTGTTAGCATGCATAAAACATGATAACCCTGACAACCAGTGGTGACAATTATGTTGTTGTTTGATACATGTTTATATTAATTCGTATAAAGATAGTTGAAACCTGACACAAATAAAATAAACTGTGTTTATACCCGTAAAAGAAACGAACTAAAGGCCACTATTTAGTGTTTTTTGTGTTTTTTTTAATTAACTTGATCTAATTATTTTGTTTAATGTCCTACATTTCACAAGCAATTTTGACCAAACTTTCACAAAAGCTCTGTCATCATGTGCCCTAATGCATAATGTCGGGGTTTTGTGGTTCGACTTTTTTACCTAATTACATGAATTATTATGGCCCTTATTTTGTTTCTTCATATGACATAAAATATGATCAATATCTTCTCTGCACAACTCCTACATTTTCCAAAGTTTTTGGGTCCCGTATGATCAATGTCAAGGCCATTGTTACTAGTTAATAACTTGATTTTTTGATAAGACATTTCAATGAAATTTGCTGTTTTTATAACGACCTCCTTTGGTCCCATAACTGTAACAAAAAATTGAAAATCGGTTCCAGGTCAATAAATATAGTTTGGAATGATATATTTCTAATGAAACATAGCGTATAGAAAAGTTGCTTGAAGATCTCGTTCAATATTTTTTGTCAAGGTCAAGGTCACAGTTACCAAAAATAGAAAATCGTCTCAAGGTAAATAACTAGAGATATTTTAGTGTATAATAAGCTTTTTGAAAGATCTCCTTTGAACTGCGTTTCGGCCTCAAGATTAAGAACAAGGTCACTGTTACTAAAATAGAATATCGATTCCGGTGATATTTAGTTCTCTGTATATTTTATAAAAAGTCAAACTGATTTTGGGCGGCCTTTGCCTGAAAAATTGTTTTGCTCCCGCATCTATTTTACAGACCAAAACTTTAAATAACCGTCGTTAGTGATAGAGGTAAGAGTATGTAACCTTATGTGTATCAAATGTATTAGTACCGTAATAATATTTTAAATCTGTGTATACAAAAGATATTCTTTCAAGATCGTATTTATGTTGCAACATAGATAACGAAAAGTATTTTATTTATAAGCTTTAATCTTTTTTGAAAATATTTCAGGTATAATAAAACTATCAGTAAATCCAACATTGCAGGAAAAATTGCAATGTTTATTTTTAATTTCATTGACAGGGAAGCAACTGCACATCTAAATTAGAAATTGTAAAGCCCTATCACATTATGACGTATAAAGCGTATAAAGAGGTAACCCAACCCAGCGTATTAACAGGTAACCCGACCCGAGACTCAATGTTTTGAAAATATATAAACGGTCTATGCCGACAAATTGATATATTTTAATCAATTTAAACAGTTTATTAAATCAGAAAATCCAACATTGCAGGAAACACCCCGTGTTTATTTTAAATTCCATTTGACAGTGAATCAACTGCATTTTAAATACGAAATTGAAAAGATCTACCACATTATGACGTATAAAGCGTATAAAGAGGTAACCCGACCAGCGTATAAAGAGGTAACCCGACCCGAGACTCAATGTTTTGAAAATATATAAACGGTCTTTGCCGACCAATTGATATATTTTAATCAATTTAAACAGTGCCTGATAAATCAATTAAGGTAAATTTATACTCGTATATGTTTAATTATTTTGTAGGATTAAGGACACAAATAAGTTATTTTAACCTATATTTTTATCGTCCGGGTTTCTTTGTCTGTAAACAAAAATATCTGATATCAAGCCATCTGTAAGGAAAAACAACACTAAAGCAAAAACAACTATCAGTTGTACTTATACCGCCATTTTGCATACCTGTACGCTATGGGTTAAACAATACTAAATATAATGTAAATTAAATGTTCTACGTAGGTTGAAGACCATGAAATTAATGTTCAGTTGATGGCCGTAACGATCCCTACCCGTCACGAAAATATTTAAATCATAACAAAACAAAAGTAAAGAGATCTACATTGGACACGTGAACCAATTGCTTGGTTGTTTACAGGTTTTGGTAACAACGATTATTTTTATCTTTGTGTGGTAACCGGATATATGCTGATTGCAACGATGCATTAAACTTGAAAAGTGATATTTCATCCATTTATTTTCGTTAAATTTCATTTATTATAGTAAATTGGATTCAACATCTCTCATCTTTTTCATAAGCGGTCCTTTTAATATGTGTTTTTAAAGTGGTCGATATATTTGTACGAGGGTTGTCCCAAAAGTCCGTGACAAATTTTACAGACGGTTCATTTTAACGCTTATAGATAATAATTCACACATATAACCGTTAAGTTTATTATTCAACATTACAACAAATCATTTACAAAATATTTACTCTAGTTTCTTAGAAATTTTCAGTTTTATCGATATTGGTTTGAGTTGCCGGCGCACATCAATTAATTTGCATTTTGTTATGAATAGGCTAAACTTAATTACATATATTTCAAATATCTGATGATGTGCCTGCACAATGTCACGTTGACTTCCTCTGCTGCTATGTTTAAATCATCTCAGAAAATTTTAGTTAAATAACCTAAGAAACGAACAAAATACGGATAAATGAAAACATCTCATAGAAAATAGGAACGTTAAAATGGCGACGTTCGAAAAATTTGCAGCGCAGTGAATAGGTTACTCAGGTTTCGTGACTATTTCGAGATGACACATGTTACGATTTTCAACAAATATACCAAATAGAACAGTTTAGCAACATATCCTGAGCATTTTTTTGCTAAAGGCATGAACAGGCCAGAGTTTTACACTACAAAAAGCGAGAATAAGGAAAACACGGATAGGAAGACCGATCTCTGTCGCCAATTTCCTACAGCTAAAAGCAGGTGCACCGAGAACGGAAGTTCGCGTATAACAAAAATTAATGTATGCCATCCAAACATTCTAAAGACATTAACAACCACATGATGAACGTCTATTATTGACGATTTATGGGTAAAGCTGCACCATTATTGCGTTGAAAGCCATTGAGAGTATTTGACTCCGTCCTTGACGTTTGACGTGCGCCGCGATTCCGATAGTTGCCATGGTATTTACGGCATATTTTTGTTGTTTTTTGATATTTTTCTATGTATATGCATGTTTTCATAAGACACAAACAAATTTTTCTTCCGGGTTTATATCACCTGTTGCAATATTTTGAACAAATGATAAAAGTAATAGCCGAAAGTATAAAACGAAATAAGTTAGATTTTACCTGAAACTGGTTAAATTATTAACGTCGATTAAATGTCACTGACTGATGTATATTCCGGGATTTGTTTTCATTTCAAAATTGCGTTGTACTAATACCGCCATTTTGCATACGGATACGATTTCGGTTAAACAATACTAAATATTATGTTAGTTCAACGTACTGTGTAGGTTGCACACCATTATATCGTACCAAGTGTGTGGATTTTAAAATTATTATCTATTTGATATTTTATTGTTACTATACGGAATACATAGAATGAAAGAAATATATATATGAGTTTATTTAATTAAAAGCAAATAGGGCTAGCGTGAAGTCGTCGAAAAATTTACCATAGGCTTCTACAATTATCAGCGGAATATTTTGTTCCTGAACATTTATTCTGTTTATAAACAATAGGCATGTAAATTAAATGCATAAAATAACATGGAAATTCTATGTTACAAACGGCCATAATTGTACGTGTTACCGTATCGTCAATAATAAATACCTTGATAACATCTTCATTGATTGTCTAGATCTAAAAATTATTCCTTAAAATCACACTGATTTATAATAAAACGTAGTCTTGGAAATTAGTGTAAATGAAATAATTATACGAAACACATTGTAGTTCTATGTGTAAAGATATATTTTCAGTGGCAACTAATTTGTTTATGTTGTTATTATATGCCCCCCCCCCCCCTCCAAACGAAGTAAAGGGGGTAAATAGAAGTCAGCTTGTCGGTCAGTAGGTCCATATCATTGTTTCCGGACGATTACTAGAGTTTGTAATTAGTTATTTTAATCAAACATGTTATATAACAACCGCATGTTAAATCCCTGGTGGGAATTGCCTTTGGACCCCCTGGGGACAATGCGACTGCTAATACAAATAGAAAAACTGTTTCCGGGCAATGACTAGTGTTAGCAAAAAATATTATAATCAAACATTGTGAAATATAGCAAGCTTATATAAAGACCCTGGTTGGAATTGCTTTCTGATCCCCTGGGGTCAAAATCATTGCAACAGTTACTTAAAGATAGAAAACTAGTTTCCACACAAAAGCAAAAGTTAGCAATCTGATACTGTAATCAAACTTACCATATAGCAAGCTTATAAAAGATCCGAGTTGTGATTGCATTTGGGCACCTTATAGTCAAATTCAATGCCACGTTCACTATTAAAAGAAAATGGGTTCCAATTATTAAGTACAGTTAGCTATAAAGTAGTGTAGTCAAACAGCAGACTAATGTGTAAATATCATGCTTGGGATTTCTTTTCATTTCACCTCGTTAGTTCAAGTCAATGTCACTGTTACTCAAAATAGAAAAATGGTTTGTGGACAATAACTAGAGTGTTGAATGTGATGTTGTAATAATACTTTGCGTTGAGCAAGGTTATGAAGAGACATGGCTTTAGATTGTTGTTGGACCCCCAAGTTTTAAGGTCAAGGTCACTGTTACTAAAGATTAAAAATTGTATCTAGAGGATTATTATTTGTAATGATTATTTGTACATAGATGAAACATCATAGAATATAGGTCGAGTAAAATTTTTACTTCAGACCACCTATTTTTTCAAAAGATTAAAGGTTGCTGGTGCGGGTATGAATCACCTTTTAAATAGCTCTAGTTGTTGTTGTTCCTGCAGGTGGTGCTGATGAAGCAGTTTTTTTATTTCGTTGTATTTTTGTTATTCAGTTACATATCAGCAACATATTAGAATATATCACATATTAACATATATGTTAATATAGTTTTTACAATACGTGATAATGAACCGTATTGTCCATCCTTCCATTGCGTATGTTTGGAATTTATATCTGTACATTGACCCATGTTTTTAGACATGGATTTGAATATAGCAAATAATTACTCATGCTAGAACAAAAACTAAATTTACATATTGATTCATCTTTTCCCTTTGATTGTTTCTCATTAAATGTCGTGGCGGGGTTTACAGCCTACTTACTATTGATACATTTTGAAGGTGTTAACATAATCATTCGTCTACTATAATTTGCCTAGTGCAAGAACCATTCATTTTTTACAAGAAATAATACTACAATTTGCCGCTGCTGTGTATATGAATAATATAAATGACATTATCCAACGCTAAAGGATCCTTCTGATCTGATATTGTGAGGTATGTAGCATTCATTGCACACACAACCAATCTAACTTCTGAATTCCCAGAGTGTTTTCTGTATTTTAGGTGGGCTTCATACGTATGCACATTCTCACCACTAAAAACAAAAACACAAACAATATATTTCATGTATTTTACTAAAATATGGCTCTATATCATTAACTTTTAAATGATCCACATGCTGTACTTTGATTAATCTAAAGACGGTCTTACGTGTTTTTCTTACCATTCTATACAATTATCTCCCTGTGATTTAAGAACTGTTCAAACAAAAGGTTCTGTCCTCCTTATGCTTATATGTTACGCAATTTATGACATGTGATGATAATGTTTTGCACAAGTGTTTGGTGTCAACTAACTTTAGGGGGCAGTCAGATCTGTCCATACATTTATTTTGCAATCCAATCAAGTTATTTTCCGAAAGATAATTCCTTTATTCATGGTTGATAATTTAAAAAAATTGACCTGCAATAACCACATCGGCAAAGGTCAATGGAATTTTAGGTAATCATCAAATCTGAATGAAAATCATAATGATTTCATATCTTTTCTTATGTTAATTCATCAATGTTACCAACATTCTGTTTCCCATTTGCTACTCCTTGTAAAATAAAAACTGCAAACTGGGTTGACACGTTTCGTACAATTTAAGACCTACACTCAAATTCGATGAAAACCGTGTATACGATGACTTTCGTACTTATAACTAAATCACTGCACTGTGACATTTTAAAATCAAAGCACAGAAGGCGCTGAATTTGTTTGGGTCTCAGAATGTCAGAAAGGTGAAGGTTGTGAGATTATAAACCAATTTGTTTTTGTAAAGTGCCACCAATGCTTTTCAGCGTTTAATTGTAGTAAATTGGCTATAAGACTAATTTAAACACTGATATTCAATCCAATGTTTATTTGACTTCAACATTTAGAAAAAAAATGAGTTGCCTTTACTGGGATTTGAACTCCAGACCTCTCGCTTCCTAAGCGAGCGCGCAAACCCCTCAGCCACGGTGTAGTTATTTGTTAACAGTCTGAAGAAAACTATATTATTCTATATAAGGGTTTGTAACGACGCTAACTGTTGTAAATAATCATGGAGCTTACTAAGCATGTATATCTATAAAGAATAAAACAATATTAGAAATCTTCGAATATTCGGGAATAATTTTGCTTGAAAATTAATGCGCCTGTCATTTGACCATCTTTACGCAGTGATCTCCCCTGAATTTTTCGGCGTTAGTTTACATATAAAGGGAAGTAACCGCTTCAAAAAAAGCGGACTACTTTTGGCACTTGCAATAAACAGCATTAGAGTCTGAAATTTCGCTACCATTATTTGTTTGGTCTGACGACCCAAACAAATAAAAACTTGTATATCGGATAAATCCTTGGATTCGGTTAGTTAATGTTTTAAAAGATATATTCATTTGAAGAAAAGTTGAGTTTTTTTTTTTGTTGGATGCAAAATATGTAAATTTTGTTTACTGTTTCTTTTCCATAAGTCTATTCATTTCATTGGTTGAACATTCATTCTGCACAAGGGCTAGGGATGTCGAGATCGTCTAAAACGTGATTATGTCGGTGGTTGTATAAACATATTTTATTGTTTTCGTAATGTGATGTTTAAAACTCATTTATGGGACTCCGATGGTCAAATGATATAAGTAAAGCGTTTTTACATATTTTTTTTTCTATTTAAGCGTTTCTAAATTAAAATCAAGCGAGCTTTAACGGAAGCTTGTTTACCTACGGCTGCTACAAACCAATTCAGCATGTCCATGATTAAGGGCAATCAACTAAAACAGTAATTAAATAATTAATTAAAAGGATATAATTGTTTGTAAGATTGTTCGACCTCAACCAAGGGCAATCAACAAATAAGTGTGATGGTGGTATTTTGTTGAAATGTATTTGCTGTCGTCTATCTACAAGTGTTTCAACATGAGCCCTTAAATGGACAAACTCGGAATTAATATTATATATGTTACCGTGTACAACCTTGTTAATTTTTTGTTTCAGCACTGCTACAAATGTTACGCAAATAAGGAGTGAAATGAGCATTTTGTACTAAATTGGTACAATTTTTTATCTCGTTATTAATATGTGTCATATTAAGTGCTACAGCTCTCATATGTGTTACATAGATGTAACGTATATGTTACTTGGCGTGATCCTTACATCATATTTTAAGCGTTTCAATAATTTGCGCCCATTTGAGGCACTATCTCATCTATCTTAAGAAGAAGGCTAGCTTTGTGTGAATCAAATACTTCTTCAAAACATACATTTTCGTATTAATATTTAACAAATTGATACAAATAAAACAAAACCAGACAGCATCATATATGCAACTCAGTCAAAAATGATAGTGTAATCTATCATAGTATCATAACAAAAGTGCATTATAACAAACGTATCAAAACCAACATCAAGTAGTTCAGTAACCATTTCCCATTACTCGTTCAAATATACATGTATTATCATTTATTCATAATTCACATAAAACAATGCAAATATATACAAACCTTTCAATCATGATAGTATCAAAGCTACAAGTAGCTACATTTTATATCATAACATAATAATTTATAGTTTTTGTATGTAAAGAGTGTTAACATTAGAAAGTTTCTGAATACAAACAATATTTAAGTATGCCAATTTTTAACCCAGTCTTAATGTGTTATCATATTCTATTAAAAGCTTGATTATAAAACAAGCTCTTGAAACTTGAATTAAATCGCCTTCGAGTTTGCTTCAAAAACTTTCAAGTACAAATGTCATATTTGTGTTTTAAATTGGTCCTTTTAGAGCACAGTCTTATTCCTTTCTTGAAGAAATGAATCAACATCAAATATTTGTTTCCAACTCTTTTAATATATCTCTTAACGTTTCCACTCTTTCATAATCTAGCCGACTTCTAGACAGTCGGTGTCTATCCTTCATCATATCATTTGATTTTTGGCAATCCTGTGCAAGCTGTCTAACTTGAGACCATTCCTGAAATTGACAACAATGCGATGATCACACATTAAATGAAATGTATCTTAAGAAATTATATTTGATACTTTTTTGACAAAAAAGTGTAAATTATAAGATTACTTTCAAAATACAACAAACAACTTTTATCCATTGAAAATTAACTAACAAGTCAGAGAATACGTGTGCTAGGCTATGGAAGTAAGCATTAAGACTTTCTCACATTTCAAAATATTGGTCAATTCTTCAAAATGCAATTATTTATTACTAATGCTAGCAGATAAAACAAATATATGTACGTCAGGGGAGAAAGTTAAAACATATAAGTATTTCCTAGATACAAACATATCATTATATTAATACAATTACATGTCAGGTAAAATAACACAATGATATTTATAAACATAATCATTCTTTATAAGAATGTTGCAGCAGCAGGATAATATAACAATAGATTTAATAAAAGCACAAATCTGCTGTATAAAAATGTTTATTAATATTTATCGATATATAAAATGCTTCGTCAAAATAAACCGAACCTTTGTTAAAGTTGGAATATCTAAGGATTTTCGGATGGTATCATTTTTATTTACATTTCCAATGTAATTTAAACTCTTGTTCACTTGAGAGAAAGACAAATTCATCCGGTTCAGTTGGACAGTTATGCGCTCGAAATGAACCTGTATCCGTTGAATACACCACAAAGTTATACGTCCACCTATAATATACAACTTCAAAGCTTAAGAATTTTGAAAAAAGAAAAAATTAAAAATTACACTAAAAGCGCATTGTCCTACATATTAATTACACCAATTCATATCATTGCAATAATACACTTAAAGTTTAACATTTTCCTTTTTTTTCTTTTATTAAATGATAGGGATACTCGTATTTTCTAAAATAAAAAAAAAACGTTACTAAAGTCTTTTTTCTACCAAAGTCTTTGTGACAAAGGTAAACTAGAGTAGCAATATTTTACATACAGAGTTAAAGTAATATCATATGATTGTTTTATTTTAGGGGTCTACTACGCAAAGTCAATAAAAAAATCGATTTTACTTTCCATTAAGTTAGAATATGTTTTTTAAGTGATTTCAATATGTCTTGATGAGCTACGTTATCCGTTGTTGATATAAGTGGTATCTTTTGTTTTCAATTATCTACTCTTTGAATAAACTTCACAAAGGAATATCCAGTTCTTACTGAAACAAAATTGCCCTACCTTCTTGTTTTGAGATTGCGTATAGCTTCAGTAGAGCTTTTATAAGGCAGTGACACATTGAAAATATTAGGGACGAGCATATTAAACACTTTCGTTTTAAAAGCTTTTAAGTGGTTGTGGTGAGCATAATCCTGGAGTCATTTACATAACCTTTGTAGAGGGTCATATGTTAAAAACAAAAACGTATTGACGTTAGTCAAATGTATGTTGTTAAGGAGGAAATGCTATTTCGTGTGATCACAATAACCACTTGTAAGAACTTTGTGTATATTTTCAAGAAAGATATACCGTTGGCAGCTTATAGAAATATTATAGCGAATTTGATCTGTGAATAATTAATTGCAATCTTGTATCTACAATACAATGCTGTATATACTGAAACATGTAAAAATCATCTCATTTTGTCGATTTGATTATGAACTAATGCAATAAAATAATATTTGGTGAGTGGGAAGAAATTAATGACTTTATTCTGAATTTGTAATCAGACGACTAAATCTTTTTACATACAAATGTTAAAATCACAATTCAATTTCCAATGGAATGCATGGTAGAAATTTTATAGAATATTTTTAATTGAGTTCAAAGTGCACAGAAATACTGTTTTATATGTTTGCCTTTAAAGTTAGAAAACATTCTATCACGACCCGCATGTTTCCCTATTGAACCGAAAGTGTGTTTTAATAAGGAAATAGATATCAATTCTGAGTGCATTGCTGTAGAATAATGCACGGTTTGAGTTCAAATGCGTAGTAATATAATCACGAAGGCCGATAGGCCTTCGTGATTAATTACAAAGCATTTAAACGAAAAACGTGCATTATTATACAATAATGCACGAAGAATTAATATCTATTTCCATTCTAACACGTCAAGAAAAATATAATTACTATTATAAAGTTGGACTTTATGTTTGGTGGTTTAATTTGTTTTCGCCTCAAAGTTTCCAATAGAAACGTTCTTTAAAGGCTGTTCCAGTGGATTGAAAAAAAAACTGTCATTAAATCTACCGTGTGTAGAAACATTTTGAGAATAACGAATTTTGAAAACGTTGATAAAACTTTGTTTGTTTATTTTATTTCACTCTATAATTTTAAAGCGAAATACCAATTATTAAAAGAGAAATAAATGTAAAACTTAACTCGTTTGCGACATTAAAATAGCGTACTTGATTTGATTGTTTTGCACGTGTTGTTTGGCGCTACATTGTGACGTCACGTAAACAACACTTTAAACGTCTGTACAGCGTTAACGACTGAATAAAAGTTATTGGTGTTCGGATTCATTTTCTTAGTTAGACCATTTTCTTTCATTCTAGATAGTTTTCACAACAAAATTCGACAAAAAAAATGTTTTCTTATTTATCAGATTTTTCAAACAAAATGGCGCCCTCAATGTGAAAATACACAAGGAGATAATAAGAACGGCGAGTGCATTGTTGTAGAATAATGCACGCTTCGGGCCTTCTTTGTTTATATAGAACAATTTCCGCTAGTATTAGAATATGCTATAAGGTCACTGTTTGACGTTCTATATTTAGACATGTGACGTAATCATTATACACGTGACGTAACCACTAAAAATGTGACGCGTTGACAATAAGTACGGAAACAAATCGGGCGCAATTTAGCTTAATATCAGGTACGGCAGCATTTATTTGTTAATGTCGTGTTAGAATCAAAATAATATATCCAAATCGGTGATTTTATTGCTTGATAAAATCACTGTTCGTCGTTTGGATGCGCATCATTATATCACTCGGGCTACGCCCTAGTGATATAATTTCCCGCATCCGAACTCCAAACAGTGATGTTATTGATCAATAAAATCACATTTTGGGAATATCATTTCTTAATTAATACTCTATACGAAAGACAGACAATAAGTTACGGAAACAACATGTTTAACAAATAAATCAAAAAATTGTCTTCAACAATTCTATTGAAACGATTGTAAAGACAAAATAATGTACACAAAAAACAAAAAATGATAATAAAATCACTTTTAATTTGAAAGCTGTTGAATAGATTATTAATCAACAAAATTTTACCTCGTAGGTGTAAAGACGCAGTCGAAATCTGTTCGTCTTGAACTTTGATATGTAGTTGTAAAGGTATCGACATCTGTTCATCTTGAACTTTGGTAGGTCCGCTCTCTTCTAGATAGTTTCCCTTATGTTGTTTAAGAGACATACTTTGTTTCAGTTCGCCTTCATCTGGTTGCTTTAGGGATACTCTCAATGCGTGTTCTATTTTGCCTTGTAGTTTAGGGTCCTCAGTCAGTTTTGTTTCACGATGTAGTTGTGAAGACGTCGAAATACGTTCCTTATAAACCCTGATAGGCCCGCTCTCTTCTCGATCCTTTTCCTTATGTAGTTTAAGAAACATACTACGTTTCAGTTCATCTTCACGTAGCTGTTTTAGGTATACACTTGATGCTTGTTCTAATTTGCCTTGTAGTTTAGAATTCTCAATCAGTTTTGTTTTAAGATTTGAAGTTAACTCTGACAAGAACGCCTTAATGTCTTCCACAATATTTGAGTCACGCTGAAGTAGGATAATACACATATCTTATGAATATTAACTAAAGTAGAAATTTTAGAAAACATGTTATTAATAAAATGAAAAGCTGTATTCAATCGATATATGGATGTAATATCCTCAAAACATATGCAAAACAAAAATGAAGTAATAGTCAATATGCTTCTTTAGTATTTGCTCTTTTTCTCCTCTGTTTTAATTTTACTAATAAAGCCCTTAATCGCTCGTGAAAAAATGCATTGGTTCTAATTATTTAAAAATTGGATAATTTGCAGAGGTTTGAATGTTTTTATTTATCCGTCAGTATACCGGGGGGGGGGGGATTTTGAAAATTATAACTAATTAAAGATAATTGTATTGAAAAGAATTTTTCAAAAATAACTTCAGGTTATAGAACAGACAATTCAGTTCTTTTGTAAACAATATTATCATCTGACTATGAAAACGGAATCTAAATACTTTCTTTTGAAAGAAAAGTTCTTTATTTATATAGTGGAGAATAGTATTACATAATTTTGAATTAATTAGTTGATCTCCATTTAAAACAATAACAATAAAGAGGACATCTGTAGTAACGGTCGCTGACTTCAAAACTTGTGGCCGTCTACTGTGTTTATGTGAAATAAAACCCAACAAAAAAGGCAAAAAAGACTATATCAGCAAATGTTATTACACAAGTTAAATCTTAAAGTCCAACCCTCACCTATGCTTTGAGTAGTTAAAGGTAAACCCACCAAATAAAAAAGCAAAAAGTAGATTTAGATCAATATCAGTCGGAACATCTCGGCTATTTTCAATAATAACCTCGAAATTAATACGGATTGGACGTAGTTTTACCACTTAGTTAAAAATGTAAACAAAAACAGAGGTTTAGTCTTTGAAAATGTACAACAAATGTATATATTTGACATCCAAATGAAAATAAAGTCTATTTCGGCCATAGAAATATGATTGAAAATAAGTCTAAGAATCATAATTAATTTACAAATGCCCACTGATGTAGACTTATGAACAAATTTGACTTAATGTCAACCGGTAGGTATTTTGTACTTTTTGTAATCTTCACAGGGAAACTTTTGAACATTGATTTCATCAATGTTCTCATTCAATGTTTTATTTTAAGACAATGGCCTAAAAAATGCAGCGCTTAGCTTGCGCAACGCTTGTTAAACATATTGTAGGAAGAATATTGTTGAAAAAATTATTCAGAGAAAACTGCATGTTTGGTCAATATATAATTCACATTTAACAATTGACAATTGTGAGACAATTGACATATCAATGCAACAATGCAACCTTAATTTTATCGTCATGTTGATAGTGTTATGAGTGTATTTTGTTGCAGTATCAATCAAATCTGCCCATGATAATAGATAATAATTATTGTTATAACAATTTAAGCAAAATTAGATAATAAGATGTTTACTGTCAAGGTTATTCAAAGATCAAGGTCAGATTTAGTTAATCATCATATCAGCTCTTTGTTCAAACAAATCAATAACTGTTGTAACAATTAATGGTCAAGGCTACTTATAGGTCAAGTTCATTTCTTTTAGCTTGTCGGTTCAGTAAAACAATAAATTGTTTAACTATCAATAAAACTTGTAAATCATTTTAACAAAGTTATGACAATTTATTCAAAGTTTAATGATTTTATGTCAATTATCAATGTCATTTCAATGTCAAAATTATATTTGAATCATTAAACTTGTCGGTCTTGTCATTTGTGCTTTTTTGTTAAAGTATAAATCTATAAAAAAGTTGTGACAATTCAAGCAAATAATAGGACATTTTAAATTAACGTCAAAGTCATATTAGAATAATTGAACATTTCGGTTTTGTCATAGATGTTTTTTTTCTCAAAGAATAAGTCAAATTTGTAATTAAATAGCAGAATTCGACAATTAAAGCAAGTTTTAATAATATGACCTTGACGGTTAAGGTCAGTTTAATGTCTTAAATGTAAAGGTCTTTCAATCATTGAACATACATATTATGACAAAAACGTTTCTTTTGTCTAAGTTGAATTTGTGTAAATAAATGACAAAGTTATGACCATCTAAGCTAAACTCAATATTAAAGGTGGTCAAAGGCAAGTAAGACACTTAGACCCCATTGACTTCTCTAATCTTTAGGATATTATAATGACTTCTAGACCCCTTGACACTTAGAACCCCTTTTACTTGACTTTTCGACCCCTATTGTGTAAGACATTTTGACCCTTATATAATTTTTTGTACTTTAGAAGCCAAGATATTCGAGAAATAATTTAATCAAATAGCAAATCTTCTAATTATTTTCATAACAAAATATAATAAACTTAACGTAAAGCAATGAAGCAAAATTGTTTTTTATTTATACTTTAATGTTATGTTGCCTAGCAAAATAATAGTTATGTAGCATTGGCTGCAATTGCTTCATAACAGTAAGAATATGTATTTTTTGCGCGATTTGTGCATTGAGTGTTTATTTTATAATTTTTATAAGTTTGTAAAGACTTATTGTTTTCGGTATGAAACACATGTCATGTATGTTAAAAGTAATATATAATATATTTACGCACTTTACGGTGAGCTAGGGCGCATGCCACTCTTAGTTTACAGAAAAATCAACATAATAAAGTACTGGGTGAAAATTTTAAAACTTCCAGATAGCTCATTAGTTAAAAAAAACGTACATTTTTCTTAAGTCAGATGTTGAAAACGGGGTAGATTATAGAGGAAAAAATTGGGCCGGCCAAGTTAAAAGTATACTGGAAACACATGGATTAAGTTACATTTGAGACCAACAAGAATTTGTTGATATTCCATTCCAAATGATTAAGCAACGTATCTTTGACGCATACTTACAACGCTTGTATAGCGATATAAATAATTCCACGCGTTTGGAGTCTTACTGCATATTCAAACATAGTTTTAAAGTCGAACCATATTCAAATTGTTCACTAGAGCCACAATACAAAATAGCCCTCTCAAAATTTAGAACCTCCTCCCACAAATTGTTTATCGAAACAGGTCGCTATGACAACACGCTGCGTGAACGACGTATTTGTAAATAGTGCACAATGAATGTAGTGAAAAATGAGTTTCATTTTTTACTTGCCTGTCCTAATTACCGCGAACTCCGAAAAAAATATCTTAAAATATGAAAAACAAGATCAACAAGGAAAGGCGGCGTTCAATGAACGCAACCCCCCATGACCCAGCAACATAAACCATATTTCTGCCGATGGCCAGCAATAAATAAGTTTCAACTGCCAATGAATTCTAAAACAAAAAAATCTATTTCCCAACTAGCAAAATTCGTTTTCTTTGCAGATAAATTCCGCGTTTCGTAGAAACCTGAAGAAAATAACTCACAAAAATTGTATTTGTTTCAAGACTTTGTAAAAATAACTAACCCAAAATTATATTTGTTAAAATAATTTGTATGTTTTTTTTTTCTCTTTTTGGATATGTTTTCATTTGCCAATGTATATATTTGTATGTGTTATAAGCATTGTAAAATGTTTAATGCAATAAATATATTGAATTGAATATAAATAATTTTACATTTCTTTTTAATCAATGTTACATATTTATTGACTTGTCTGTAGCTCGATGATGCGATTATTTCATGTTATTATATTTAAATTATGAATTAAAAACCAAACTACCAATCAATTATTCGGTGTTATTTGAAAACAATATTTATGTTTTCACGCCAAATAAACATCAGACACGTGTCATTGGTGATTTAATTATCTGTACTTAACACCTATTTAAATCATCCTGCGAATCACCAAATTATTACAGTGTTAATTAAACAGTAGTTATTTTCATTTTAACGGGGTTTTCTAACTGGGAAAGGCATTGTTGACAGACAGACAGACAGACAGACAGATATCTTTATTCACTCAAGCACATTTGTACAATATGAGGATTTTCTAATATAGCAAATATATAATACATTAGTTTTCCAGCAGTAAACATACATAATTTTGCACAATATATTTTTTTTCTTATAATGTAAACAATATGGTGACTTATTACAGTGTGTTTTCTAGGGGGGGGGGGGGAATTCGGATATTCTTAATTCTAGATAATTTAACAGTTCATCTTGATAAAAAACAAGAAATAATAATAAAAACAAAAACAAAGGCACACATATATAAAAGAATGTACTAAGAGATTCAATCAAGTTATAGATACACCTTTATGCTAAAACTTTACGTTCACTATTGTTATTATTACTGTTATTGGAAAGCAGTAATAATAATAATAATAATAATAATAATAATAATAATAATAATAATAATAATAAAACAAAATAAATAAAATAAATATATTTTTGGAAGAGTTTTGAAACGATAAGTTTGTAATTTAATTACGCTGTTTTAGGTAAAATTCAACAAGGTAGCATTATAACGGATAATTTATAATTGGCGAAAGATATAAATAGATATGCGCGCGCTCAATATGGGAAAGTTCTCACACTGAGTATATATGTATTCAAGTATTGCAGAAGTATCTTTATGGATTATTTTGGCGAGAAAAAGGGTAAGTCTGTAAAACTGTTATCATAAATATGATGGATGCTATATAATTAAAATTTGCCAAGACTATACGGATAAATTTACAAAGATTCAACAGTTTGGGCACATTTGTTGAATTTATTAAGCTTTCAAAACTGTTTTCGTTATCAACTAAGTGAAAGTTATTCAGATACATGCTGCGTTGATTTTTAAAATAGTTACAGTTAAAGATGTACTGTCTTTCTGTGCCTGGGGAGCCACTTGTACACAGAGGACAGATTCTATCTAAGAAAGCGGTACCATCCTAGCGCCCGGTCTCTGATGGGAGTCTTGTATTGCATGTTCTAAATTTGAAAAGGGTAATGTAGTCATTGCTGGGGATTAAATTAAGGTACTTTTCATAAGTAAGCGACTTTTTAAAGCTATTGTATATACGGCCTTTATTTGATGATTGCATTTGATCACGCCATATCTGTTTATATTGATCAATTAAGGTGAGTTTAATGCGATATGGAATACTTTTTTTACGGCTTTATTTTGATTAATCCATAAGTCAGTCCTGCCAACAGAGTTTAAATTATCTTTAATTTTATTTATCCACTTATAATTTTGGTCTGAATGATTTAACATAAATTGGTAAAGGATATATGAAAGTTTACTTTGCTTTCCAAGTAAAAGTCTAACCCAGAAAGATATCATCCTAGTCTTGACTATGATTAATTTAATTAGCATATAAACATATTACATAGGCATTGCCATATATTAAATTGTGGTGGTCAAATAAAACATGAGATAAATAAATACTGTACTGGTATATGGTATTAGAGAATTTTTGATTTGGAACATGGATTCAGTGCCAGTATTGGATTTCATTTTTTATTTCTTTTTTTACTTATAAGCGTTTTTCTTATGGCCATTCTATTACTTTCACATTTAGTTCATTAATATCCGAGGCATAAAAAATGTGTATTAAAACATGATGTAAGACATTCAGTTTCTGATAGTATACCTTTTTATGTGTAACTCATACATGTATTTTTAAAATATCGTATAAGAACCAATTAGCTTAAGATTTCCTGATATTTGAAGTTCTATATACTGAAAGTAACAAATGCACATGGAGATTATGGCAATATTTGTTTAGAGTAAAAGTGAATTACAATTAAAAAATAAAACGTTTAAAATGTATATTTTAATTACTGTTTTTTATAATAATATGTATACAAATATACCATATATATTTTCTGTTTAAATGTGTTTCTGTTCCTTGTATACATTATTTGACTTGAAGAATGATTACGAATAACAAATAACGGCTCGATATGATTTCACTTATAATTTAGTATATCTATTTAATTATATATAATTATCAAAGTTATAAAGACATCTTTTTCTAATAAAATGTTATACGTCTTTATCCACATTGTTTTTTTTTCGAAAGTAACGGCTTCATTTTCTTTATAAAATAAGGGTTTCGAAATTTCAAGTCAATTTAAAGTCTCTTAGGGGTCTAAGTGTCATGCGTCGAAATATCTTAGGGGTCGAGATCTCAAGTGGTCGTTGTGTTAATAATAGAAGGTATGAATCAACTCATTTTCAATAATAATAATTATAATATCATACAATATTACATCATAATATCATACAAAACATCATGCAACTAACCTCAAAAAGTTGATCGGAAACCAATATATTATAGTGAGATTTGATTGCCTGTTCATCAAATTTTAGGTCAGTACTTTCAACTAGCAAGGCAGACCTGGTCGAAGCATTTCTGTCAAGGCTTGCTGTGTTTTCTCTGTAAATTGATATAGCAACAACACATATCATATTCACAGATAAATGCCCCCGGTTGCTTATCTAAAGTAAAGGAACTTTACCTTTGATTTCAAGAAACAGAACAGTTTCTATTTAACCAGCTTACTCAATTAATTCAAGAGGCATCTGTGAATATTTGATGAATTGACAAACTATTTCCATACACAACAACTAATGAACTGTTTTCAAATCCAAGTTCATGTATTGCTATCACCTTTTTAATGTCTAACTTGCAATTGCTCGTGAAAGGCCTTATTGATCAAGGCTTTTGGCGTACATGTGTGACGTTGACCTTTGAGCTGAAGATCTAATTTTAATCGACTTAAAATGAAACATACTAATGGAATCCCTCAATAATTGACAGGGTATAAATCGGACATGTACATGAATATATTTCAATGTTGAATTATTCAACTTGAAGTATAAGTGCGACCTCGTTTTAGGTCTTCAAATATTGTTTGAGCGTGCGCCAAAATTATTTAAAAATCCTTCATGAATAACAATTTAGCACTAGCACGTGACTTATTGTACTGCACACACAGACTTTTCGCCGATTTAAGTATTTTTTATTAATAATTTTGCAGTTACTCAATCGACTTTGTTCAACTAAGGCGTAAAGTACCCGTAATTATATTAGCTTTTGTGAATCAAAATTTTGAAAACCCCTGAATAGTTTTTAAGAACATTCGAGTACAGTAAGTCGGGCCGAGTGAAACGGTACACGCTCATTTATCACAACAAGCGTTTTCAAGAATTTCACTATGTACTTTTGACATAGAAAATCTGTAAGGTTTAGCATTCATATTTTTAAGGAAAACTGAAGAAGAACGGACGACTTGCTAGAAATCGCTTGTTATGATAAATGAGTGTGTACCGTTCCTCTCAGTCCTGTCTATAAAAACAAAACTGTACTCGAATGTTCTCAAAACCATTCAGGAGTTTTCATCTTACCGTGTATCAGCAAAGTTATTGATGAAAACATACCTGAATGAGTGTATCGTACCTACAAAGTCACGTGGTATGGCCACAAAGTAATGCACCAGTTACGCCCAACTATTCAATGTCATATAAGACGTTGGATGTATTACACTAACTGTTTGGGCATAAAATTGCTAAAATTTTCGCGCGACACAATGTTATGATATCCGATTATCCTGTACATTTATGCCAAATGATTATAATCCTGAAAATTACTGATCTGGCACGACCATCAGTACACTTTTATGAAAACGTCATATTATGTGACCTTGAACTCTGAGCGCGACACCTGACTCTCGCGCAACATGGTGTCAAGATGTCTAACATATTAATAGCAAATTATTTTTAAATTCATCTAGGAGTGACAAAATTGGTTACCATGACATCACAAGTCATGCACTTTAATATATTCTTGTCCATATCATCATCATGTCAAATACAATTACGCATAGATATTTTATCAATCAAAGAATGATATAGTTGAGTTTTGACCGAGAACGACTCAATGTTCGATTTTACGGCAAGTTTTTTTGACAATGTGTTGTGTTACAATATATTCAAGGTACAGCGTTCTGCGCGTTACAATCTCAATCAACTTCATATCGTTGCAGAATTATTTATTTTAAAATGCATCTATAACTGACAAAATTATAAACCGTTCTTAAAGTGTGGACAGACGGACGAGAGGAAGAACGGGCGCTGTCAAAACTATATGCGCTTCCCAAAATACTAGTGAATAAAATAATGGCACTGACGTATTTAAACACTGTATTGTAATATAATATTTTATTTATCCAGTGCTACCAAATAAGCTGTAATAATTCTGATCTCATACAAATTTAAAAACAAACAAACACCGCCTCCGTGGTCGAGGGGTTAGAGTCGATGACTTCTAATCCAGTTACCTCTTTGGCGTGGGTTCGATCCCCGGGAGATGCTTTAGCGCGGAGGAAGGTAGTCTAGCACTGGTGTTACTCTCCAGGAACGATGGTAAGAAAACTACCCGCCTATATGACTGAACTACTGTTAGGAAAAGGCGTAAAATGAAACAAACAAAAACAAACAAAAAACCCACTGAATAGACAGTATAGAAGTATAGAAGCGTTAAGCAACATTGGGAATATTTTATAACTATTATATTTATTATTATTAAAGTTCATTCTTTTTCCTTTTGTTAAAATATGTTTTGTCAAAATCGATATAATATGTAAAATTGTACTACATTTTAATACATACCATCATATTCTTTCAAAGCCATACCCTTTGCGTGCCTTAAATGGATCTCTGAAGGTCTTATCTTGTCTTGTGTCAACATCTTAGATGTACCCAAATCGTCATATATTCTCTTTTTGTCACCAGTGAGGTGTGTTCCTGAAAACTTTATTTTGTCACCCTTAATATCCGCATCTTCAGCTTCTTCACTTTGCTTTATCTCCTCTTGAGACAAAGGAACACTGTCTTTCAAATCGCGTTGCCATTCTTTTAATAAACGTTCTTCATCTTTACAGAGCTGTTGTAAATGATGCAAATGATAGTAACCAGCTGTTGACTGATTCTTCATCTGCTCCACCGGTACTTTTAACTCTAAGCGTGTTTCAAGATCCTGAACTTTTCTCTTTAAACGAGTTATACTGAAAAAGATTTTTCTTGGTTAATATGGTTATATCCAGTATTTTGCATTTCCTCCCTGAGTTTTCAGGTTCATTCATGTAATGACAATTATTTCTATATACAGAGGCAGAAAACGCATATTATTTTCATACTATTCTTTATAATTTGAAAAAGTCATGTAATAAGACCAACATATCTAATCGAGCAATAACTTATTTCTCGAAATACATGTTTAGTAAATGATTTCTGGAAATTCTACCGCTATTACAGAATAGTATTTGGTAAACAATAAGGAAACCTATTTCTATTTTATAATTTTATTAATTACTCAAAGAAAATAATAAAATAACTCCAAAAATTCATGAACAAACATGGCAAATCAGCACAAAAGTTGAGACAAAATAAGCAAAAATAATATTTTATGAAATTTATAGTATATAAAATTAATTTATGCATCCATAACATTTAATCCAAAGCAGAATTTGCAAAAATCTTAATTTGAATACATGTGCATTGTACCATCATTTACTGAGATGCTAAGTGCATAATAAAATTGTAGCAATAACATCTTACAAATATGAATTGTTGAAATATGTTCTTTTGTGATTAGTCAATAGACTACAATTACTTCCTATCAACTTTGAATTTCACAATCAATGACAGTTGGTTAATAAACCAAGTTTTTGTTTTAAATGTTTTACTTTGTATAGGTACACCGAAATTTGGTATAAATGTTCAATTTATTAATTCAAGTTTGATTGCAATCATACAAGAAGAAAAAGATATTCTAACCTCAAAACTGGTTGCCTAAATGAGGATAGATTGTTATTTCCTATATAAAGTGTGACTTCAAAATGGGGGCATCTTTGGCCGAGAGCGTAAGGTCCTTATCTCAAACGCTTTCCCCTCATCGCTGTAGGTTCTAATCCCGCTATGGACATTTGATTTTTCTCCTGTGAGGAAGCTATCCAGCTAGCTTACGGATGTCGGTGGTTCTACTCCACTCGTGTCTGATATAATCCACAAAAGTGCAACTAAAGTCTTCCTCCACGAGTAAAGCTGGAAAATTGCAATATGACTTATATTGTGTTAGTGTAACGTAAATGCCAAAAACACACTCCCATCCTCACCCCCGAAAAAAAATCGAATATAACCTAATAATGAGTCATTCACTCGGTAATTTATAATTCTATGTGTTTTAGTGTGCCTCAACAAACAATTCACTTTATTCGTGGTATTAAATGGTACTTACATTCTTTCTATCAAATGGTTACTTAATTCTTTCTATCTTATTTCCAGTAACCCCTTTCAAATAACCTTCAAAGGGTTCATGATATAGATGCAAATATATAATATCAAAGAAGCATGGTAAATAATGTATCTGGTTTTGGTCTTTTTATGTTTAGCAATTATACATCACTATACATCATTATTTTCAAATGTATGTGAAATGCATAACAGTTTATAAAAATATGTATGCATAAGTTTTTTCATTTAATTTATCTTTTTATATCTAGTATTCTAATCAACCTTTAATGTATCCTTAAAAATCAACATTTACAAAATTTAAGGGTCTTTGCAGAACCACAGTATAGTGACAGTTATGACAATACAATATCACAAGTCTACATATACGAAAAAGCATATGACCTTTTGTATCAAAAGAGAGGCTTAATTTTGAAAAAAGTTACATCTCACTCCTGTCGATAGTTTCTTTGGAACATGTTAAAATCAAGTTGAAATTTTGTTTGCAGTATCGTAGAAATATAATCGGTATTGGTTTTTCTTTCGGTTAAACATAAATCCGGCAAAAGTTTAAAATTGAAAAAGAAAACATTAAATATATTTATTATAATAACAAAGTAACAAGATTAAGGTCTTACATAAAAATATACATTTTATCGAAATATTTATGCAAATATGTACCGACCTCGTGAACTGAATATTGTCAATTTCGGACTAATTGACTTCTCCTTAAAATATGGATCTCGAAGAGTATGCTTGAAAAACATGATATTTTTATCAATATTTGTAATGTTAAACAGCCTTTTCGATACAACAAGCCACGAAAAGCATTCGTGAACTTTGTATATAGCAGAAAAGTTATCTTTTCATATCTGATCTTAAAGCTGCATGACTCCAGGCAAAATATGTAAAGAGAACCAAACTTATTGATAAAAAAAAAATATTGTAAGTTCCGTAAACAATGTCTTAATCACATTCTTTGTCCTATTTACAACATTTTGATTTTAATCACATTTTCAAAATTTTCATAAAAATTAGCATGGATCTGGAGGCACTCTGCTGTAAAGAGTTTTTACCCGTAACCGATTTTGTATTTCCAATTCCAAGGTCAAAGAAAGGTGTACTTAAAAGGTACCCCAACTATAAATCGATTAATATACTTTTTTGACTATAAAAATCGTTGAATGTTATTTCGAAGGTGGAATTTTTTGGTTTACATATTTATGACCAAAATTATGATAAAAACATATTAATGCTGTAACCAGCATGTAATATCACGTGATTTAGGTCAAGCGAGAAATTTGGACACAGACATTGTCAATAAAAGTATTAAGTTTATATTCGACATAGCTAAACATTTATAGCCGTGCGATACGTTTAAAGCGAGTTTAAATCTTGCAATACAGAAAAAATGGCGGCGGATAGTGACAAATAATGTTGGTAAGAGCCAGTTTGCTTCGTATATTTGTTGTATGATGTAATTTTTGTTCATATTAGTGCATGCTGAGCGGAAGATATATTTATATGTAATGGTCAAAATAAAAGAAACTATTTCATGGAAAGGAGGAATTTATTGAGGTATTTGCTACTTCCAATGTCACCGGCAATCTGACATACTTATAAAAAGAAAACAATAACAGACATTTATGGAACAGATATTTGATTAGTTATTATAGCAACAACATGTTAACTATAAATTGCAAAACAAAATACACGAAAAATTTTAGCTATATATATTATATATATCTATTTCGCATAAATCTATAATATTTCCGATAAATTAACTGTACGCAAACATTTTTTTGATTCCTTACAATGCGTTTTTATGATCGACTCTGTGCAATTTGTGACTGGTATGGTGAAAAGCAGTTTCCTTAAGTGAACAGTTAAGGTAGCTCGCTACTTTCCGACCGAAATTTGACAACATCTCAGATCTTGATGATTTTTGGTATACATAAATATAGATATGTAAGCTTTACTTCTGCAGCATTATTTTACATATAAACAGCGTTACTATGACGTCAAAGCGCCCTCTATCGGTGGCGGCGAAATTGCGTCTTTTTTATCAATAAACCGGTCTGTTCTTATTAATTTTCATCCGATTTCCTTCGTTTTAATTTTATAATGTTCAGTAAATGTATGTTTTTGAAATAATGTCTTTCTTTAACATTTTGCTTAATACTCTGCGATTCTACGTCATTTTTCTCTACATTCTGACGTCCATTTATGATACAAATATCGCGCGATATCGCAATAAAGATTGTAAAATAACAAAAAATCAACACGGTGAATTTTGCTATAATTTTTTTAAACATGTAGTGAAGTCATGAAAGAAAATATTTATGCAATAAAAATATAGGGTCAACGCGTAAGATATTTTGCTATTACTATTTTAATATAAGATAAAGGATGAGTAAAACGTAATGATTTTTGGTGACGTCAAATATTTTTCTCAAGAAATTGTCAAGACTTTTTCCGATGAATAGTATACTGACTGGAATTAAAAATGTGTGAAAAACCATCAAACAACAATAGTATTTAGACATATTCCGTAAAAAAATGTTCTTTTAAAAGTCCTGTCAGGTGCCCGCATTTCGATGAACAACTTCAATCATATACATGTACAACAAATCAGGGTATGACTGTCTGCACAAGTTGGTATCAAACTTTAAAAAACTGAAACGAATGGTTAAAAATACCTCGAGGACTAAAAGAATTCAGAATATTGAAAGATATAATTAAAAGGTCACCTTAGTGGAAATAATACAAACATAAATTTTGCAAAGAATGTCAGAAAAAAAGAATGAAAAGGCTGGTGCAGTCGCAGTTTCATCATGTTATGTGTATCTCGGTACTACATAAACTTCCATATTATCATACGTATGTAACATTTTCGAATTGTATATATCAGTTAGTAGGAAATGAATCAAATTTACGTTTTAAAAAATGTATGATCAACTCGAAGTAACGATTTGTACGTAAGTCATGATTCACTGGTAGTCTTAATAAATAAAAATCTAGCAGACATTTATTTTAAAACTTTTCTACTTGTATAAATTTTTGAGCCGCGTCACGACAAAACCAACATAGTGCGTTTGCGACCAGCATTGATCCAGACCAGCCTGCGCATCCGCGCAGGCTGATCAGGATCCATTCTGTTCGCTATCAGTTCCTCTACTTATTAAAATGTTTTAAAAGCGAACAGTATGTTGGTTTTGCCGTGACACGGCTCATTTATTAACAGCCATCAGTTTTTCTATTTTCTCTCGCAGCTAAATACTAGTAAATAATATCCCTGCACTAAGCGCGAGACTCAGATTTAAAAGGAGGAATCACGTTCTCATGCTACGACTTGAATTTTCTCACGCATTTCACATAATTACAGATATTCTTATTTATTTAAAACTCGCTGACTCGCGGCAACCTGAAGCCGTGATCATTTCTCGATTCGAGGCGAAAGATCCGTTGATTTATTTTTGTATGTTCATAAGCGGATAATTTTGCATATAAGAATTAATACAGATTCCCTTGTATTGAAGACGATCATGTAGGATCCTCAATTTGTGTGAATATGGTTTTCTGAGAAGCTCGTTTTTGTCTGCACATAAAAAAGTGCTAATGTAGAGCCTATGAAAATAATGAACTATGCATTTTATGTTTTATATCTTCTTATTTTTAAATATTGGGTTTAGCGCCGATTTCAACAGTATTTCAATTATAGCTGAGGGAATTTAACAAAAGTTATCAAGTGTTTCTCACAGTATCAAGTTCTCTACGGAAATAAATGACAGGAGTCCGAGGTGGACCTTGAAACATTTCATACTCAGTAAACAATTTTAATAATTAAAATAAACAGGATAACATCTACAGAGAAATGCCCTTTGTTGCCTAGAGTGGTTGTGCTCTACAGAGGTAAAATGTAGTGGAGCCCTATAGAAATAAATAATATTTTGAAGGTCGCTTTGTTATACTGTAATGAAAAAGCGGTAAGTAGGTATACGTAAATCCGAGTTCCAAAAAGTTTTAAAGTT